GGGGGGGCACCAGGCTTCAGTTTCAGTCAAGACTGTGAACAAGATGGCTCTGGGACATAACCATTCCTAAGTGCTAACGCTCAGAAATGCAACAATCGAAGGATTGAAATTAATAATATTAAAAGAAAAAGACCTAAGGGTGAAGGGAAGTGATTTTCTCTCTCCTTCCTTCCCTCCCTCCTGATTCTGAAGTTTTTTTGGTGATATTTCCCATGCCCACACACTTTTTACACCCTGTGTCAAATCAACCATATGTGACCTTACCTAACAGCTAGCACTTCGCTCTAAGTCTCATCCGCAGAGCTGATCATATCCACTGTGAACTGAAAGCATCTCCCTTCCCAGACACTTTCCAGCGACTGCCAAGGAGGAGGCAGAAACATTTGCTCTGTTTGAAAAGTGCAACCTTGAAGTAGGGCAGAGAGACTGGATTAAAACAAAAGATCTTTTATTGTCTTCAGCTGAAGAGTATGATACAGAGGAACTACACATAGTTTTCATTCATATAAAAAAAGAGAGCCCTTTATTTACACAAGTGTTCAGACTTGCCATGGTACCTAACAACAACTCTGTACTTTCTTTGTCGTCTTCTATTAGTTATTCCCACCTAGATGGAGCAAGCATTGGTCAGTAACACTTAGAAAAACACGTAAGAAGCTTTTGGGCAGGAAAATAAAGAAATATGTTCTAAAAGAAACCGAATCTTTATGGGCATTTCACCATAACAAACCCAACAGAATACTTACAACCAATCACTGACAAAAGGAACAGTTTTCATACGGGCTCAGCAGCCTGATCGTTCTCAACCTTTTATTTACTTCCTCATCTATGCAAATATACCCTGGACATGCACAAACTCAACATGTATGAAAGAAGGTAGAAATTTATTTTAAAGTAATTGTGCTTTTATTTATAAAAAAATTTACAATCAGACACTGTCCTGCTGTGTTTCCGAAAGCATGGTTCTCTTAAAAATGACAGAAACTTAGTTTATTATTATTATCATTATTATTATTTGTCATTATATTAATAATATTAATCTTATGTTTAAGTTTAAAAACATACTGCTTTCCCCTTCCCATCCCCTCCTTCTCTGTGGTACTTGATATATATATATAAAAAAAAAGGCTTTGCAACAACCAGAGAATTTCAATTATAACTAATAATAATAATAATAATAATGATAATTAACCGTACACCTTTCTGTGTTTAAAATATGGCTGGTTCTAAAACAAACTACCAATGTACAAAGCTGTTCCCCCCACCCCACCCTGGGCCACCCAAGAGATAAGTCAGACTGTGGAATAAATTTATCCCAGAGGCTTTCTGAGAAAATAAAATTTAATAAACCAACATACAACCCTTGAGACAATCATTGTCTTTGGTGTGGAGGACGTTACTGGTGGGCAGCTGGAGCTGCTCTGCTGCAAATGCTGAGACACTTAAGGCTTGTTGTTTGTGCTGCTGCAGAAGCCTCTGTTAGGCCAGGGGTCACCGATGCTTTGGTACGACTGCCAGCTCCTCACACCCCACCACCCAGTGATGCCAGAGGATCTCCCCACACCCCCATCTGTATCCCTCCCCCCCATCACCCTGCCCGCAGCCCCTTCGCCACCTCTGGGGCTTTACGCTCGCTTTCGTCGTCCTTCCAGATTTCGGAAGCTGGAGGGTCTCAGCTTCATCTCTGCAAACTGGATGGAATATTCATGGCCCTTCCAGTGGAACCAGTTAACACCCTGCAAGGACAAAGATGAAGTGTGGGAGGTCACGCATTCACCACTCCTGTTGTCAGCATTTCCTGCTCTCCTTTCAGGCTGCAGGCTGTTCTCTAACTTGGGAACAGAGGCACAACCAAGGTGAGGGGCTTTGGGAAGCGCAAGGCTCTGGCCGCTGCCATGCACAACGTGTACAAACCAGCCCACACACTGTCCCCCAGGGCTGTCACTCTTTGCCTGGTTCATGGCAGGAAGAACAATTTGTTTCACATGTTGAAGTCTATAATTGTTCCTTGCACACTTGGGATATTTATTCCCTTGAAAAATTAGACAAAACCATCACTATTTCACCAGCTGACATTAAATAATTCTGTGAGCAACTTCCCATATCTTGCCCTATGATCCTTCGGCTTGGTTGGTGCTCTGACGTCTGGCTAGCTGAACCACCAGACAGATTCATAATTTCAATTCCCCTTCCTCTAATGCATTACTTAAGCCTTCAAACACCAAACTCACCTGACTATGGCTGTTGTCACCGTATCTGCCCATCAGATTGACCCGGTGACAGTTCTTGTACCAGAATGCACCCTTGTATGACAAAGCACAGTTAGTGATGGCAGAATCATTGTCCTTGTCAAAGGTGGAGAAGGACCTTCCGTTATGGTATGTCATGGAGTCACCTGGATGGGGGAGACAGAAGAAGGAGCAAGGTCAGTGGTTTGCCTAATTTAGATTACACGAGAGGGACTATTCTGCAGAAAATGTTTGGACTGTCTACAAAGCCTGGGTGTATACTTAAGTTATTATAAATTGACTTGGTTTAATACAGAAGGAAGTACACAATTTTTATTGTTGGAGGCAAATCAAAATATTTTTCCAAGTAGTCCATAATCCCCAATTTACTAAGTGTTTTTTATGGAGCTCAATTTCTGCACTTCCTGCTGAAAACTGGATTTTGGCCCTGTACAGAAGATAGCGGGGACAAACCAAGTCCGTAGAGACCTCCACAAGGAGTGAAACAAGACCAAAGGACTCTCCACACTTATCTGGTCCATGAAGTAAAGATACCCATCTTCTTTACCTGCAAACACAGAGAGATGTCTGCCTACTGCTGGCTTCCCACTACTGGGCTCTGGGTGCAGCAGGAGAACCTTCAGTGTATGCCTGAAGCAGAGCTCACATTCATGACTTAGGATCTGTGTTGCTCCATCCATTAACCTTAGACCTGAATGCTTTGGAAGAGGAAGCAGTAGGACTGAATCCTACTAGCTATAGCAGCTACTACTGCTCTGCACCAGTGTGTTTGCCTTAAATATACATTAATTCTACTACTGCTGCATATCCTCTCTGTGGATGTGCATAAAGTTCATGTGATGGTCACAGGGCAGAGTCCATACACATGCATCTCTGTGCCCATGCACCTAGCAGCATGAAATTATCTCCTTTTAAGACATTCTGTGGAGCTGGATTTATCTCTTAATCCTTTGAAGCCCTGAAGAGGACTCAATAAGGGCTGCAAGGTTTGCCCCAGTATGATTACAAAAGACAGATGATATGTTCAGCAAAATTACAAATCATGTTATAGCAGGACTTTGCTGCATATTCCACTGACAAGAGATGACGCTGTGCCAAGCTATTATTAGCTGTATAAATGACAGTCAAGCATTGGTCAAATGAGATATATGGCTGTTTAACATACTCGTTTATATTCTGTCATAAGCATGCCATAAAATGTGGCACCTAAATGACTGGAGGATTTAAAATGGAAACATAAAATATATTGATATGTTCATATTTTCAGACACCTAACAGGTATCTGCTGTGATGTTGATCTGCAATGTTCACACAGGTACCTCGAGTCAACTGGGAGGAAATTGCAAATCAGAAGAAAAAAATTATTTATCTCACCTGCTGTGCCGCTGTACCCATCCACTCTTAGCCGGTATCTGCTCTTTGCATCTCCAATGCTGAACCTGTCATAGACAGCATAAGCTGTCTCACCTTTGTCCCGCAGATCCACACGTAGCTCGTACTGGCCCTGAGAACTGATTTTGTGGAGGTTCTCCAGACCTGTGGAAATAAATGAACAATCCATTTGTCTCCCCATGTTTTATTGGTCTACCATCATATTACCTTGTAAATGGGGTCACACTGGCCTGTACACCAGGGCAGGAACACTGGTGAGGGACGTAAGCTATGTCAGCTGTGGCACAATGGTAGCACAAAACCAAATAGATAAAAGCAGGCTGATTGAGAGACCTCTTCCCTTCAAATCACAGTAGCAGGTAGCTCTTTGGGAAAAGCAATCAAAGTTGTGCTGTGTGATCGTCACTGTCTTTCATCTACAACCAAAGAAAATGTAGCACAATCTTTGGAAATTTTCTTTTTACGTCTACTTTCCCCACTGTGCTTCTTTGAGTCACACGCTTTTGTTGCTAGAGGTGTCCGAGGAGTACAGGAAGAAGAAGGTTTGCAGTTGCTTCTCAGGTTACCTTCTGACTTCTTACAGAGCACCAGTGAACATTGGTTTGGTATGTTGAGTGTCATGCTTCCTGGGACATCTCTGAACTGCACCTGGAGGGACTGCCCTCCACCCTGCACATTTAATCTCCCTCGTAGCACGTTGTCCCTAAGCCTCCTTTGCCCAGACCTTATGTTCCCCTTTACAAATACTCTTGCCATGAAATGGAAGCTTCAAAGTGGCTCCTAGTCTTTTGGTTTTGTTCATGTTTCATTTAAAAACAACCCAAACAAAACCCCACATCAAATTCTTGCCACTTACCTATCCAGAATTCATCCTTAGGATCTCCAAAACCAGTCACGTAAGTCTTCCAGTTCTTGTAGAAATCTTCCTTTCCATTCTGACGCCTCAGGAACACCTACAAGTGTGGCATGCAAGAAGTGTTATCGACAGACTGCCTTTGACAGAAAGGGCACTGGCAGCCTGGCTTTTACAAATACAGAGCTGGACACTGCTGCTTCCCTGCTCCTCCCACCCAAAGCAGCAGTCTCACCGCAGTTACTGAATTGTACCAAGTCTGTTGAATGCTCCTTGCTTTCTTTCACTCTAGTTTCTCTATTGGGCTCCCAGACTACACTGTGTGATGTGGCCTTTTAGTTCCTGCTCGTGGCTTTTTTAACAGCCCCTCACAGTCAGCCAAGACTTTCTACATCCCTCAGTCTCCTAGCCATGCATTTCTCCAGCTACTTTGTCCTTTCTGTGCCCTGGGTCCCTCTGGCATGTTCAGATTTGAGGATGTCACTACAGAGAGCTGGCATTTTCCTGTCATTCATAAGGTATGACATCCAGAAGGTATGTATCTGGTCTGAAATGGTAATTTCAGCATCTCCTATAGCCAGTGGAGAGAGACTGCTGATGTGACCCATCCCTTGGGAACACCTCTCCCTTCCGCACCCACAGAAAGAGCTGGGAACCTCCCTTCTAGACACCTAGGGGTCCTACCTGAGATAAAATCCCCCAAATTTATAGACAAGTCAGGTCTGCTTGGATGATAGAGCACTATGAGGGCTGCCACAGATGAGCAGGGGATGGGATCTGCTGCCCCTGCTCTAACACAGGCAGATGCACATGAAGGGCAGTGCAGGGCCTCTCCCCCTACTCACAATCCATCCGCCCCCGTCCTCGTCCATGTCGCAAAAGACTTGCAGAGGCTGAGCCTTGTCCCCATTCACGTAAACTGTGTAGAGCCCAGAGGCAGTTTCTCCATTCAGGAGAGCCTGGGAGCAGTCTTTAGGGTAAGGATAGAGAAGACCAGCTGCACACACACAAAAAGAGAGAGCAGTCCTTAAGAAATCAGCAATTACGAGGAACTTACTGAATACAGATGACTAATGAAAACCTGTTGTAGGTCAATGGCACAGCCAGGTACAGAGCCCAGGAACAAGCTTGTAATTATATCCTACATTCAAAAGATGTGCAGTAAACAGCAGATTATATAAATTTTTCTTTTGAATATGCTTTTGCACATCTGTCTACACTTTTGGAAGTGCTGTGAATGCCAGATAACTACTCCCTGCTATGACGGGAGTGCATCCTCTAGCTAATATTTAAATGGCATGAGCTGTGTTTACAGCAACTTTTGGGTAAAACCAAATCTACCAACCTCTGACGATGTGACAGAAAAGGGAGCAGGAAATACAAAGACATGACTACAACCAAAAATAAATAAATTGGAAATATTTTGCTAGCAAGCACTATATTAACTATGTTATAAAACTAGGCTTTTAAAAACCAAAACAATAACCATTGAAACTGCAGGTAAATGTTGTTAAGCATTTCCTTCTGACAACAAGCTCATAGAATTGTTGCAGTCAGAATAATTTCTAACTCCAATAAAAGCTTTTTTTTTTTTCTTTTTGCATTCACTTAGGCCATGAACTTTTTCAGCCAATGGTCTAATTAAGTGATGTTCCAGTGTGTCCATAGGAAGGTTTTTAACTCTTGCTGCTCACAGAGTGGCTGTTGCTCCCTTTCCAGCATGTTGCACATCCCTGCCTGTGCCTCAGCTACAGGGAATTTGCATCAGCTTTGGGATTTGGAGAAAAGCCACTCTCTGCAGGGAGCTACTTCAGTGTTTTCCTCTCTCTAAACAGCACACATATGTCTGTTTAGAGTTAAGACCAGGCTTAAGCATCTGCCTGAATGAGACTGACACTGTGTTTGTAGGGGTGAAGGCACCCCCATTCAGTCCCTGCTTATGGTCAACTTGCCAAACCTCACTTAAATACATTCAGATTTAATTCTTCTCCTATTCCTGGTTGTGGATTGCCTCCTGTTGGTGGAGTTCACCCCACTCTACACAAGGAGTGACTGTGAGCAGACTTGGGGCTACGTGACTTTTATTAGCACTTCTGTGAGTCCTTGGGCTGAAGGTGGTACAAGTGGCAGAAGGAGGAATGGAAATGGCTGAAGGTCCTACTGGGTCTGAAAGGCTGGAAACTGTGAAAAGTGAGACAAATGACAGGCAAGGTTTCACAGTTAATACTGAACAACTTTTTTTTTTTTTTTTTTTTTCCTAGTGTCAGCAGTGAAGTGACCTTCAGAGAACCCAATCTGTTCTTGCATTCAGCTCACTGGAGAGCTGTCCTGTTAGAGCTGGAACAGACATGCTGTGTGGCTTTGCAAAAACCAATCTCAGATAGAGGAGAAAAAAACCTGCCCAGAAATTCATCTCCTCAGACCACTGAATTGATCTGTGTGTGTGTGTGTGTGGTTTGCTTCATTTAGTCTTTACATGCTGATATTTTGAACAACTTGCTATGCATTAATACAGAGGTAAATCAGGGTGTCAGTTTGGATTTTGAAGAGTATTGTTCCTTTTGATATTTTACATGGAAAAGGCAGGATGTTTCATAAGAGAGAGGACTATAGAGGTGATGTGGGTGGATATAAAGAAAAGAATTTCATCCTGCCAGGCCAGGGAAGCAGATGACACTACAGCTCAGGGCAAACAGGGACTTTAGCACTAAAAGCAAGTGAAGTGCATACTGACAGTTGGATTCAAAATATTCTATGAGGTCTGTGACTGCTTATTGCAGAGCTCAGTGCTGTCCTGAGAGCAGTAACTTCTATGTTATTTGAGCTGTGCATGTGCTCTAAGGTCCTTACTTGTGGTGAAAATAGTCTGGATCATTTTGCTCTTCAGGGATCTGTTCAGTGCCTGGAGCTTCACTGTGTACTGGGTAGATGGGCTCAGCTCCGTCAGGCTGTAGGAAGTTGTCTCAGGGTTTAGGATGACTTCCTATGGGGAGAAGAAATAATACAGGGAAATCTCAGTGAGAAAATAATAATAACTCAAACTGTTACATATTTTAGTCTGTCACATAATTTTTTGTGGTAATTATTTATAGTATTTTTAACCATCTAAATTATTTAATACAAAACTTCTACTCTAAGATTTTTGTCAAGCTACCTTTCTTTAGAAGTTTGAGAAAAGTTGTCTGGAAATGAAAGTTTACCATCATAATGTGTAAGCTGTGTGGTTTAAAAACAAGTCAGCATAAATGTTTACATGCCTTGAACGTACACGTGGTATAGATGTCTCTGTGAAACTCATAAAAAACTGAGAAGGATCACCCTAGGACAAGGAAATACCATACCCTGGCCTTCAAAAGGCTGTTTTTCTGTAAATTTAAAAGTCTGATTTTCAGTATGATTAGGGAATTTGCCTTCTTGAAAATCAGAATCCCTTCTGATGTCCCAGGCTGGGTGTTCAAAATCATCTGTCATTTTTGCTGGGATTCACCTCACTCATATGTAAGCATCTAGTGTAATCTAGTCATGTAGAGACATAAGAAAACTGTTGGAGAGCAAGAGGCACTTTCAGAGGTGATTCAGCCTGCTTTAGACACCCGCACAGGGGTGGATTCTCCTGAGATTAGAAAGAGGAATTCCATTCTTTGGGGTGTGTGATTTTATTCCATGATACCAGTTTGGAATGAGGGAAAATAGTTGCTTGTGCCTTTATCTGTATTGTGGAGAGATGAAGCAATTGAGCTTCTGTTTCAGGATATGACAGAGGAAAGTACTTATGTAGGTTTTAAATGCAATTGTGTTCAAGCTAGCACTGAAACAGGTACTTAGTATTTTACCATGTTTAACTTAACCATATGATTATGTTCCATTACTGAACACTTCAGAGCATCTCTACTGCCCGGTTTGATGCACAACCCTTCTGGTTTGTTTACAAGTGCTATACCTTGACTCTGCCATCAATGGACTCGTAGATCAGGAGATAACCAGTGACAGGAGCTCGTGGAGGCCTCCAAGTTATCACAGCTGTTTCTGACTGAACCTCAGTGGCACTTAAATCTCTTGGAGCATCCATTCCTGAAGGAGACAACAGATCAATTACAATCAATGCATATGGAGTTTAGTACACTATCTTATGGGCAGTATATTGAAACAGGCTAGAAAAGCAAAGTTTTTCTCCATAGAAATTTTAAAGTAAAAAATATTTCAACATGAATTTTGTGATTAAAATCCAATTTTCCCATTGGAAGTTTTAAAATACAGATATTTATTATCTTTAAGTTAAAATATTGGCTTGTCTCAGCCACTTTAATTTATAAGCAGCTGCACTGAAATGTCTTCTGAAACAAAACTGGGTCTTTCATTATTTCACACAAGAAAATAAATTGGTATTTACATATACTCAGGAAGAAAAGCTTTGGTCCCAATGATGCCTCTTCTGAATAGAAAAATTTTTCCTACTCTGGCTAGAGCTTCCCTACTCCACTGTGACCATAACACTGTGTTTGTATGGCTCAAGTCCTGATTCTTTAGTTAACACCCTGGGAAAAGTCAAGTAACAGTCAGGAAACGTCCATAATTTCATTGATGCTAATTGAAAGCCATAAATATGAGACCAGCTGGATAGCTTCAGCATTGGTACGCCAACAACAGCCCCCAGAGAAGAGCTCCTGCTTCTGCTTTGTGTGACAATCTCTGGAATTCATGACAAAACCCCACTTTCTGTGTCAGTCTCACCAGCTTTCCACCAGAGAAAATTTGGTGCATATACTATAAAAATTCAGGTTTCTAGTAAAAAAAGACACAATGTGCTGGCTGACTTCATGGTATTAGAGAAACGTAAGCCAGGTGGGACTAGAAGAGATGACAGTTCTCCCCACAGTGAGGTGGGACACAGCACCTGTAGTAAACTGGGTGGAGAGGGTCTCGCTCTTCTGCGTGTCCTTCAGCGCGTGGACACTCAGGGTATACTCAGTTGCAGGTCGAAGGCCCTTCAGGTCATACTCCACAGTGTTTCCTGATACCATTTGAGTAATTTCTGGCTCTAAGAAGAAAACACAGAAGAGAACAGGTCCCGGCTTTATTCAGACATGTCATGATGTACTCACCTCTATGCTCCACTCACTGATATTTTCTTACTCACTGGGAGCAAGAGCAAAATAGTAAAAGCCCAGAGCTCATGTCTCTGTTTACACCTACACTGAATCGGAATTAATGCCAGAGTTCTTTATCTAAAACTATTAGCACTCTCTAGTGTTCATATGAATTATGACACCATCTTTTCAAGAATCTCAGTTCTCTCTGCTTGTGTCTGAATTGCGAATGCTCAACTAAAATGATCATTTCTAAAATGCTTCCAGCGAGGCATCTCCTTCAAATAACAGTCCCCTGCCATCCTCCTGGTGTCACATTGCTGCACCTATTTCTGAGCATCTCTTGAGAGCTGTAAAGCTGTCAGCTCCCTGATCCATCACTAATTCTTCTTACCATCCTCAGAAGCATAGGAGACAACGTAATTATCCACAGCAGCAATTGCTGGCTGCCAGGTTGCCAGAGCCTCAGAGTCTGTGATGTTCACCACTACTAGGCCTGATGGGCTGTCCAGAGCTGAAAGCAAAAAATAACAGATTGAAGGAATCTGACAAACATTCTCAGATCTGTGCAATGCTCTGTTGTAAATATGTGATATAAAACGTGCAAACACTGCTGTTTGATGCAGCTGTTATGATCCCCTTTGGAATAGTGGGGCTCTGCAGAAAAGACGTCAGTGCCTATAAAGAGACATCAAATGCCTCCACTGGAAAGGGAGGTCAATGCATGAAAAGATTAAATGCTGGGAACAGACATAACTATGTTCTCAGATCAGTCTTGATACCATCAATCTTAACAGCGCTGTCAGAGCTGACATTTTTCTCTCAACGCTCTCAAATCTGGTCTGCTTTTTGGAGCAAACTCAGGAGACAGAGCTGGGAAAAATAACAAATGTGATGGCAACTGATAGCCACTGTGACCTTCCACCAGCTTCTCTGCAAGTTTAAATATAAATCAATCAAACAGCCAGCCAACCATCCAAAATCCCCACACGTCCTGCCTTGCTTCCACATGGGATTCTATTTTGCACACAGTTTTATGCTCTTCCTGAACTGGGATAGATATCTGCCTCCAGCACAGCTGGAATTGGTTATACATTTTATGTTATCATCCAATACTCATCATCTTGTTTTGTGCCTCAGTTCTCTGAATATTTGTCAGCCCCCAAAAAAGAGTGAATGAATGAATGAATGAGACTGCAGAGTGGGGTCAGCAGTGGCATAGTGGACCCTCATTTCCTGCAGGGATAGTTAAATCTACATTGAAGAAAAAAAAAAGAAGAGAGATGTTTTTCTGCTTAGGATACAGTCTGGAACTTGTGAGATGTGGCATTTGAGTCCACAACAGAAACTGGTCTGGACTGTTCAGCTGAGCTGCCCTTTGCTCCCTCATCTGTAAAATGGTATTAATTAAACCTCTGAGGTTTTTTCTGATGTATTCAGACTATTAAGTACATTAATTTTCTCTGTCTCGCTGCAGTTTGGTTCAGCACCTAGCAAACGGGAGCCTTACAAGTTCTATACCCACATGAAATACAAAGACATAAAGAAAGAGTGGGCAAAAAACTTCCTACAGTTTGTGTGGACAGCAAAAATGGGATCTCAGTAGGTCTTCAGCTCCAGTTCCCAAGTCAGACAATGCATTTGAAAACCTGCTATTTCCTCTTTATATATTACCTGTTTTCAGAGTGCCAGAGACAGGTTCACTTTCTTCAAAGCCTTTCACAGAGATGATACTAACATTGTAGTCTACACCTGGGATTAACTTCACCAACTTGGTCCTTGTCTTGCTTCCATCGACTGTAACAACATTTGGAGTACCTAGGATGAAGCCAAATACCAAGGATTAGTGACACAGTACTCCAGTAAATGCTTGGAGGATGTGTTTCAAGTTAAAGACATAATGACCAAAATGGACATACTTGTACAGGAGGAGGTGAATTTTCCCCAGTTAGTTACAATCACCAGTGTCAAAGGGCAGCCTCAGGAAAAAAGTACTGCTGCCATGACAACTAAATCTAAGACATTAGTTTATATCCATTCCTAGTGGTATGCCAACAGTAAGAAAAATTAAGATTTCTGTTGAGAAAAATATACTTTAACAAACAAAATGTAAGGTGAAAACAGAGAACTCTCTCCATGGAAGTCCATACCCTTGTGAGGATGCAGTTTAGACCTGCTTTGTTTCTGGTAAGGGCTGGAAGTTTCTCCTTCACCCATCTCATTTCAGATGTAGTATAGTAAATAGCCAGTAGATCTAGTAAATATTATTTTAAGAGGTGCTGCATGTGTGGGTGAGGATTTAGGACACATATTTGTTTCAAATTCCATGTTTACTCCAGGAAAGCAGTTTGACAGGTGCCTGACTTTATGATTGTGGGTTACTCCTTTTCTTCTGTGGGACCACTATATATTTAATATACACTTCACATGTGCTTACATACTATATTTTCTAAAGACCTATATCTTATCTTAGTCAATAGCATGTCTTTCATGGTCTGACATTTGTAGTGTTTGCTCTTTAACTGTTTCTTTTCAGGGACATCCCTAAATTATGCTAAAAATCTGTTTAAGTATAGGAAGTTTTCTAAGATGAACACTAAAACAGAGATATAATGGATGGAATGAAACAACATTGGGGAGTACTAAGAAAATTCACTGCCTTGGAAAACTGTTATAACCACAGATTACGATTATTATTTCCAAGTATCATCATTTCAAATATCCTTAGCTCATAAAGTGCCTACAAAATAATGAGACGGTTTGGAAATAGATCCTAACTTAGGAGAGTCAGCAGGAACAGAGATTTTTGTGAAAGTGGACCTATTAGGGGTACAACCACTCCTGTACCTAGTTCTGAGCTCTCTTACAAGTCGTCCATGGGATGTGGGACACTATGTTCCAACGGAGGTTGGCTACTGGGACCGTGTATGCACACCCACATCCCTGGTCTGCAGCTGGAAGAAAAAGATGATCTGTACAAGATCATCTGGGAGGATCACTAAGAGATGGATATCAGCACAACAACCCCTTTCTGCTCTCCTTTTTCCTCCTTTTCTCCCTCTCCCTCCTGGCAGTTACTTACCTCCTGTGATAGGGGCGTAGGAGATCCGGTAGCTCTCCACGCGGCTGCGAGGAGGTGTCCAGCTGACTGTTGCGGAGTTCTCCGTGATGTCAGAGAAAGTAATTCCCTTGGGAGATCCAACAGCTGTCAATGGAGAACAAACACACCACATAGAAAGAAAAGGTAAATCATTTGTTTATCAGTCTTTAGTGCTGGAACACTGATTTGTCTTATCCCTCTGTCCCAAGAGCTGATGCTATCGATACTTTGTCCTAAACAACACTAATGCTGGCAGTACCAAACATTAATGGTTTTATTACATGCTAACAGCAACAATCTATTTCGTCTAAATTCTCCTTTTTCAATAATGTTATGGTAGTGCACAGCTTAAAAAATATCCCAGACATATATCTACATATCATGTACAAAGAAGAAACAGACATTTAAGCGTTATAGGAAAGTATGGAGGAACACTTACAGGAATACTATTCTATTACCCAGGAGTCACTGTATTTACCATTTTTTCTACCTTAATTTCACTTGGATGATTTTTAGTTTTTCCATTGAGTCTTGAAGTCCTACCTGTGATACACAGCAATGGCAGCCCTTAGCAATGGAGAGATCTCTCTTCCTGAGCATAAAGTTTCTACTATAGGATGCCTAAAAAGAAACCTGGACTCAGTTGTCCAAGTACATCAAGGGTCCGTCCTCTCAAGCACTAACTGCCTGTAACTTCCTTGGCTTCAAACTAGAAGTGACAAGATTTTTTTCTGAGATCATGATTCTTCTTAGGTACATTCAAGCACATCCATCCAGAAGACATCCAAGTACAACCATCATGAGGAAGGCACTTGTGGTTGCACTGCAGCTCTTTGTCATAAAATGCAGTCTTTCCCTGTATAAACCTGAGCACTACATTTGCCCATATAAATCAGATCAGTAAGCTGGGCAAACAAAGCCCAAGTTGTGCCCAAATCACCCAATCTTAAAATGCAAACCAACATGTATCTGAATCATTCCAGTTTAAGGCCTAATTAAGCTACTGCAAAACATAGAAGGAGCTTCTGAAAGAAAATGGTAAAGAGACTTGCCACTACAAAGTTTACACTGAGCATCTCACTTCCAATTTACTTTTTTAACTGTAACCAAAACAACCCTGACACATGTTAACAAAATAGTCAGCTCACAGAGAGGAGGCCATTAGCACAAAGAGAAGAGATACCAAACATCAGCCACATTAAGAGTGGTGGAGACAGCCTGAGGGCAGGGGAAGGGAGGCAAGAGGGGAAAAAAAGTGACTGTGCTTGAAATAGCTTGGAAAGAACGTGTCTGCGGGGAAAGAAGTCAGAGGGCTGTTTGTTCCATGTGGCCCAAAGCTCTAGCAGCAATGCACTAAATCAACTGAAAGGCAAGGAAAGAAAAACAGCTGGGCTCTCCAGAAAAATGTAAATTATTTCTCTGGAGCTCACTAGACATTTTGGGTTTGTGGGGTTTACTTACATAGAAAAGCCAAAACAAGAATGAAAAGAAAGATAATGAAGAAAGAAAGGTGTGGTTGGCAAAGCTACATTGCACACAAAGTTTCTACTGATTTAGGTACAGTCTGAAGGAAACAGAAGAGCATAAAGAAAACCTGGGAAAGAGAGAAGTGAAAATCACATTGATTTTGTTTGACATTGTAGGTCTCTTAATAACTGGTGAAAAGTACTAGTGACAACTCTAGAGACCAAAGAGATGGACCAGCACTCAGTTTTCATACACACAGGGAGTGTCAGCCTTTCACGGAAAATAAAGTACAAAATCCATCCCTCTCGGACTTTTCTGTGCACACCTCCATGGGATTCATGCTTGTTTTCTGTACCAGGTGGACTGCTGCATAACAGTAGTAAGAAGAGCCTTGACTACGTGGGAGTTTCACATCCCCAACTACCCCAACTGCGGCTACTTTCCTGGGAGCAAACCTGGCAAAGAAAGTGTAATGGACCATCAGAGCAAGAATCAGTCTGAAACGTGTCCCAGAGGTGTACGAGACCAGTACCTTTGAGCACAGGGAAATGGAAAAGGAGCAAATGAAACCATCTTCTTGAGCTACCTGAAAGCCAAAATTAAGCAGGCACAAAGAACAACCAGCGTGCTTTGGTTTGTCACTCATATAATAACTCAGTTTATCTGTTGGGCAGATACAGTCAATTACCATTATCCTTCAGCATCTTTCCCCATTAGTTGTATGAGAGACAGATGAGATTTCCTGTGAGGTTGCTAAAGCACCCATGATACTTGAGTAGCTGCTATTGTTTGGGGATTTTTTTTTTTTGCTAAAAAAAGTTGTTCTTTCATTACTAACTAACAGTGAATATGGTCACTGGCTTTCTTCTCCTAAGCAACAGGAAACATCAAGTTGCATTTAGCAACTATAAAGAGCATGTGAAGTGTTTTGTGATCCTCTCGGATGAAAAATGCTCTCACCGTGTGGTGAGACACCATTAGAGGAAGAGGAAAGTAGCAGCATGAGACTCACACTTCCTACCAAGGATATTAAGTGGCACACAGCTGTGTTGTGGTCCACCAGTAAGGGCTGAATTGCACCTTCACAGACATTATACAGATTAATTTCCAAAAGATACCAACTGTCCTTCTGAGAGCAGCAGTGGACAAACTCCCTCGTGCCATCTTAATTAGACACTGCAGGTCTGCATGATGCTGCCTACAGCAGAATTGATGAGCGTAAAATGGCAAACAGACAAATGCAGAAGGTAGAGAGAGTGGATATCCAAACAGGATAATCTTTTAACAGCATTATCATCGGCGGTTCTGGGTAAAAACTTGCTGTTCACTTGTACATACAAGTAAATAACAGAAGAACTACTTGTGATGGGTGTGGGAAGATACAACTTTATCATCAACTCCCATGTCCAGCAGTTTCACACCACATTCCTGGTGTGATGGGAGTGAGGAAGAATATCTCAGCCTGCAGGCAAGTTACCAGCTGCAGGACCAACACAAGCTACATGAAGAAAATAGCAAATCCAGTCCTGTTCCTGCTCATTCTTTCCTCATCCAAAGTCCATGGCTGTCACCAGATCAAATGCCTTGCTGACTTCTTAAAAGAGAAAGAAGGAAAGACAACCACAGAAGAGGAGGAGGAGGCAGGAAGAGGTGAACACTGCAAGATCCTTCCTCCCCTCCTTTCTCACAGCAGGTGGGTGGTTTGCTGTACAAAGAGAAGTGGTCGGACCCTCAGAGAGAACTGCGTGGCACTGCTCCAACCAGATCCCCTCAAGTGCACCAGTTACACCATTTGTGGACCCGATCCCCGAAGACTGCATTTGTGTATAGACAGGTACGTGCCCTGGGAGGGAAGAAGGGGGAGGCTGTGGGTGTTGAATACAGAGAAGGATCTTCAGTCTAGGTTATTTTACTGCCTTCATTTCCATGGTAGTGTTTGGTTTTGGTTTGCTGGTCTGTTTGCTATCTGTGTCCCAGCTGTTATTTTCTATCTCCTCTAATAAAATTAAAGACTGTCTAGCTAATCTATTCCTTGCTCGTTGTATCTTGTGCTGAGGCCAGAATAAAGCAAGGCTGAATATAAGCCTGAGCTACCCCCTTCAGGGATAGAAATGTTTCTTTGCAATCAGACTAGAAATGCTATAAATATACATGTGTTTCTCTAATCAACTCCTAAATAAGAAACTAGTGAGATGTCTTGGTGGCCCCAGATACCCCAAGTGGTGTAACCTGCAGTCCAAATTATTTAACTGGATTTCTGTGGCTCCAGCTCTGTTATCAATTATCCATGGGCTATTTACATCTGACAAACATCTTTTGGGCTATTTGCTTCAGTAGGTGACATGTGCTAAATCTCCCTGGAAGAACTGAATAAGAATGCAGTCATGAGGAAAATGATAACTCTTAGTGGTTTACCATAAATATCCTGGAAGTCAGTGAAAATGGGGACTCGCTGCTAACAAGTGCAGTTGACTTTAAACATCCCTCTCCATTATGAGTCAATCCGCATGAGGCTGGAGAAAGGGGGCTCGTGATGGAGGCATGTTCTGCTTCATGTAAATGTCTGCGTGAGTGTGTATGTGCCCTTGCTGTTTATTCAAGGGATGTGATGGCAGCCAGTGGAGCTGGTCAGAAATGTGCCTTTCCATGCTAACAACTGCCACCACAGACATTAAGGTGAATCATGAGGCCATGCTATTTCAGGAAAAGCTGTTCAATTCTGAGTTATTGTTGTCCCTTTTCTGTGTGTTGTCTGGAGTACACTGCTATGGCTGAGCAAATGCCTCTTTTATGAATTTCTGTTGGCTTCCTCAAACACTGAATTTACCTGTCCCCTTCTTGTAACCCTTCTCCCAAAATTAGACTGATTTGAAATTATGGTTTCATGTCAGCGAGCTCAACATTTTTAAAAGAGAGAATTTCAGCTAAAGGACGTTGCTTCATTTGCTCTAGATTTAAATATGTTTCAAAATGAAACCATGATTTTGGTGGAAAAAGATTGAAAAGCTTCATTCAGAAGTGCTGAAATTAAATGCTTCAAATCATAAAACTTTTTTTGTTTAAATTAATCTCAGGAATTCAACTTAATCCTTGAGAACTTTTTACTTGACTAATATCTGCTTATTATAACAGAAAAATAATATAAGAAAAAATATTCCAGTTATAAATACCCAAAACTTCCTTCTTCTCCTTGACACTGAGAAAATGAGGCTCTGTTTTGGTGGAGATTTTTCAGAAACATATAGGTCTAGGATAACTTCAGACAGCAGACATCTGCAGTTATGTTTACAATGTTTCTTCATTAGTGTGATACTATGAAGGGCAAGAACTCCAGCTTTGTGGAATTGGTATGCTGCAATTGAGGATTAAGGCCTTGGTATTTTTTTTTAAAATGAAATGGCATGAGTTGGCAGCCATACCTGTGTGTTTTCTTCTGGATGATTTTACCTGGGTAAGTCACGAAGCTAATTTACATCAGAATTTTTGACACACAATATTAAGAATATAAAGAAATTTCTGCTGAGGGAGTTCAAAGCTTTGATTTTGCAAGAAACTCAAGTTTATTTTGAAATATCAAGCGCATGTTGCTCCCAGTAAGATCAGTGTAAGTTAATGGTGCTTTGCTGATCAAGCCATAAACAAACTTCTCAATAGCTCTGATAAATTAATTTTGTCATATCTCTTTTCTAGAGAGGTAAATTATTGTGGAGTATGTGTAATTAGTCCCAGAAAATGGCTGAAAAAGGCTGATAAAGGGACAATATTGCTTAGCTCTCAAAGCCAGTGCTTTAATTGCTAGACCCTGCTACCTAATTCCAGATCATGAAAGTAATTAAATTAAACCACATTAAATAGACAGGGATAAAGCTAAGGAACCTGAGATGGTTGATTATAAGTAACTACACCTCGCTGACCCAGTAACTTGGATAAGGGACATGCAGCAGACACTCCAGTAACAGCTGGCTATGAAAAGGAGAGATGCTGAAAAAAACCAGGCATGAACATGTTACGTGTTTCCTACTGCAAAGACAATACCTGTGGTTGCTACTGCATTTATGGGCTGAGAACGTCGTCCACTGCTAACTCCGTAGAGCTCGATTTCATATTCAGTACCCTCTTTCAGCCCTGTTATATCGTGGGTGCGCTCATGGCCTGGCACTATTAGTTCCAGCGGATCAGATTTCCTTTTGGTATCCCTGATTTTTAGAACAAAACTGTCGAAAACCCCATCATCTGCAGTCCAGGACAGACGGAAGCCATCTGGAGTAGCATCTGAAACCAGAAGGTTGTCGACCTCGGGTTCTGCCTCTAAAAATGGAGAAGACAGTAGTAGGGAAAAGAAATGACTTTTTAAACAGTTCATTAGAGACCTGTCTGAGGTCTGGTTATAGCATACTGCAAGAATCCAACCACAGTTCAAAGAAAGGGAAACAATCTGCCAGCTATTAAAAAAAAAATAATAAAAATTTAAAAATTAGCATTATACACATACTGAAGGAGATATATGTGAGTGTGTGCAGGCCCATTCAAACTTTCACTCTTTAACAGCAAATCCACTGCATGGACATACACCATTTGCCTCTGACATGCAAAGTTACACATGCTAATAGGAAGTTTCATGTGCATTTCTCCCTTGCTACCTATGTGAAACCTTTATGTACAATAAAAACAAGCTCTTGTTATTGAACCGCAGGCATGCCTGTAATATTGTCAGGTCTCTGTCTGTTAGGAGGACAACACAGAAGCCACTTCAAAGTCTTTCTCTTCATGCAAACCCTTTATTTCATGCACTTTTGGCATCTGTGATGCTTCTGATCAGATGAATCCTTTGCTTCGATGTTAAACAAATGCTGAAGCAGCAAAGGGGAACCATGAAAATTCATATCCCTTAAACAGCACACTTAAATCCAAATGCGAGACCTACTGTCTTTAGTGAAAGAACCCATTCAAGAGGATCCAGGAGCTGAAAGTTATTAATTACCTGCAAAACATCTTTAGCTCAGTATGGTCAGGCATCATTACCTACAGAAATGCTACTGGAGTGGTTACTCTCTTACAGCATCTCCAATGCACTTCTTTTTCTGCAGAAAGACATTCCTATTTATTTTCTCATGAACCTCCAATCAGGTAACCCCCAGCTTTACTGCTGCATAGACAGCAACGTGCAGATAAGACTTGGTGGTTATGGGGCTAGAGAATCAGTCTGCAGTGATTTTTCAAGAAGGCTCAAGTACTGCTCGAAAATGGCCACTATGATGAGGTTGAACACATGAGCTAAGTTTTTCTGGAGAGAGATGCCAACTTTATTGGTGGCAATGATCACACGTGATGGCATTTGGGTAGAACCCACAGAGAAAGTGAAAGAAAGGAGACCATGGGCAAGAAATCCATAGCTCTTCCCGAAGGTCCTGACAGTTGGCAAGTTGGAGAACGCTGATGTGCCCAGCAGCTGTTAACAAGACGAGCTCCCACATGCAGCCATTTGTCTTTAAAGACTTCGGTTAGAAGTACCTGCATGACCATACCAGAAACTTTCACCCCTCAACCCACATCATGCGCCTCTACAAGATCCCTCATTAAGACAAAATGGAAACATCAAGTTAAAAGGAACAGAATTTCATTGGTAGACCTATCAATCATGAGGAGTTATTGTGTAGCCACGATGCAGAAAAGGATGCAAAAGCCAAAGTTTGCTTTGCAAATGTATTACAAGAAACATCTTCCATGTGAGAAGAAAAGCAAGAAAGAAAGGGTGGAAGGGAAGAAATTGTTCACATTAAAATACCTGTAACAGCCACAGTGCTCAGGGGCTTTGTTTGGTGCCCCTTGGCAAAACCATAAAGCATAACCTCATAGCCAATGCCAGTAATAAGGCCTTTAAGCTTCAGTTGCCGCTGGGCTCCCGTAAGGAGGAACTCCTGTGGGTCCAGCAGCTTGCCAGAATCCACCACGACTACTAGAAAGTTGTCAAAGGCATTCTCCGATGCCATCCACGACACTGTGAACCCATAAGGGTTAATATCAGAGACAGTTAGGTTTTCCAGTGGGGGCATTGCCTCTAAAAGAAGGGAAGGTGCAAAAACACACACAAAAAAAGAAGCAAAAAACATTGCAAATTAGAAAGTGTCACAGATTCCACTGAACATAAATCACATTTTCCCCACGAAGTATGGATTTAATAGAAGCGCACAGTTAGGACCACAAGACTAAGACTTTCAATAGAGCCTCCAGAAGCTAGGTGCTCAATTCTCAATTTTCATCAAGGGTGTCTCAGCACCTCAGCTCACAAGCTCCATTGAAATTCCTTCCAAGCTCACCGTGTAAGCACATTTCTTCTGTTACACATGCACTGTAAGACAGTTATAACCAAAACTTTTAGAAGTGCTATGCATAAAGCTTTCACCTCCTTCCACTTGTCTCCACCACCAATGCTTCAGGGACAAGCTCAACTTTGCATTCACAATTCCTCTATTTTGCTTCTTTACTTCTCTACTTCACATGAATATCTCCAGCTTTTCTTTTCAATGTGGAAGGGTCAGAGATGCCAGAAGGACTGACAGAAGCAGGGTATTTATCAGTCAGGGTCATAGCCAGTGAAAATACTAAATACTTGCAAGACTGTTTTTTGTGGGACATAAGAGAGAAGCCAGAGTTTGCACTGGCTAAGGGCAGGGGCCAATGGCTACAGAACAGAGTAATAATCTGTCCAAAGAGCTTCACAAGCAGCTGCTAGTGTGGTATGTTGACAACTTAAAGAAATTCCAGTGAGGGGTCTTTTTTAAGTTGTCAACATACCACACTAGCAGCTGCTTCAAATCCTCCAAACTATCCCACCAAGTCTTTGAAAAAAAAAAAAAGAGACCAAATTTCCACAAGATAGTTCCTCAGTGTATTTTGCTCACTCAAAATCTGACAAGTCAAACAGCAAGATCAGCTGGTTCTGTGAAGCCGTGGCCTTGATCCTGGATCCCAGGAATTACTAGTATTTCTCTACACTACTTATCACACCTTGCTTTGGCTCAGGAGCTAACTCAGCTGATCTTCCAATCGCTCAAATTCCACTCACTTGTAAGAAAATACCCATTAGTTAAACACAAAACTCTCTCCGGAAAGGGTCTGGGGTTTGCTGAAATTGATGTTCTATTAGAATTTGACATAAAAATTTCCTCCTAAAGTTTTTTAATTTGGAAGTCCTTACATTTTGATGTTTACACATTTGGGTGCCAGAAATTCAACACAAATTTACTCAATTTGGAAACATTTTTGCAGCTTACTTGGTTTTAACTAATCAACCCTGGAGATTCACATTTTGATTTGTTTCCTGGAGGATGTATAAACAAATTAAGAGACCAAATGCTGAAATTATTTTCCTGGGATAGGTGACGAGTGACACCAACACTACACGCAGCAGGTTTATGTGAACTGCTGGCACATCCTTCTGCTTGTGGAGAGTGCCACATGTTTACCTTGCTGTGGGAAGCTTCCACTCAAAATACCAATGTCCATGGTTTATTTTCAAAAAGCAAGCATTTGTACTCTGGTGGAGCAAAAGAGCAGGGGTTTTGAAAGCAGAGTTGCTCACTACTGGCTATGTGACTGAATGTCATTAGGGGGCAGATCAGAGCTGGTGCAAAATGCAACCATTTGCCTTAAGGAAAATGATCATGGACATTGTCTTTTACAGAGGTGGCAGCCTAGATGCTGTGAGAGATGCTGCTGCTGCAACTGGTGTTGCCACTGCATGTTGAGGAAGAGAGGAAAAGGCCTCAGTTTCTCCATTAATCCTATTTAGGGTGTCCATACATCTATGTGACAAGCCCTAGGAGCACATACTGCCCACATAATACAGAGGGTGAGCTCTGTAGCATTTATTTGATCATCTAGAAGGCATGGGATATACAACTGATCCCAGTCAAAATCTGGCCGAAATATTCAGACCTAAGTGATGTGTTGAGGGGACATCACAGGACAAGGGGTGTCCTACAATCCAGTCCCCTCTGGATCCTTCAGATGTAACTACTGAGTGTTTGGGAATTTTTCCCCTCAAACTTCAGGAGTTAAGAAAGATTATTTAGACATGGGAGAAAGACTCCAGTGGGCTCTTAACTCACTTTAAACTAGTACTCCTAGAAATATTTTTTAAGGTCAACACGACTAGTCTGACCCATCCCTGCACTAAGTTTGCAAACAAAACCATTGGTGCTGGACAAGATATTCAGTGCTGTAGAGAGTCTTTTTTTTTTTTTAAATCCATGCTGGAATATGTATTTTTATAAGTCAATACATAGACTCCAAACCTTTAAGCAGGTACCTGTCATGACAAAAGCAGTGAGGGGCTCTGTGTGAACACCTGCACTGGTGGTCCCCTTAATGTTAATGTCATAGCCAGTGTAATCTAGCAGGCCTGAGATGTGAGCGCTGCGAGCACCTCCTGACACCGTAAGCTCCTGGGGTTCATGTGCTGCATAGGAATCTCTAATGTATATAACAAACTTGGCAAAAGGCCCATCTCTTGTGGTCCATGAGAGGTTGAAGCTGTCGGGGGTAACGTTTGTGAGTGTGAGCGTGCCCAGCTGTGGCTCAGCCTCTGAAGGAGAAAGGAACACAGGTGAAGAGAGAGCGTTACTCCTGGGGGCTGGGGGTATTAGCAGTGGAGGTTTATAGATGCTTAAAGATAAGGCTGAACGTTTTAACTTTGTTAAGTGGTTGAAGAAATAAAAGGAGCATAGCAAGAGCTATTTTGTAAGGTTTTGGAAAGAAGCCACTGAAATTAGTGCTGATTTTTATTTTATTATTTCATTCAATTTTCTTAAATAAACTCAATTTTCCTAATGAAATGTGGGCCTGATTTACAGAGGCACCAACAGCGTACAGTCCTGTGGTAAACCCATACAAATTGCAGGAACTCTGCACTAGGAATTTGATGGGAATACAAACCCACAGCAATTCCAAAGTAGATGAAGTAGGATTCAGGCAGGAATTAGGCAAGTCCAAAACAGTCATCCTTGAAATCCTAGTTCAGCTTCTGTTTAGTGTTTCTGTTGCCTGGAGTTGTAGATACTTTTGTTTTGGACCCTGAAGTTCATGAAGTTTATTATGAAGTTTATCACTAACAGTGATTATCGCAGCACTAATCTCAGGCCAAAACCTCCCTGGATTCCACAGATAAGGTGTTCCTCATCCTCTGATTAGGCACAATCAGGGAATGTCTAACACAGACTAAACAAAAAAAACCCCACAACACTGCTGTTGCTCTTCTTTCTGACTGTTCAGTGGTCAGGGAACTTCCTTAAGAAGCAAAGACTTTCCTTTTCTGTTAAAGGAAATTCAAAATCACATCTCTCCCCTGCCAGGGGTGAAACTTGGCCTTCAGGCTATAGGAGGGGGGAGCTCCTTAAGCATCCTGTTTTAAAGCTATTCCATTTAACATAACATTAAAGATTCATTAGAGCACAGGGAGAGCACAAACATGACCTGTCCATCAGGTGGTCAGAGAATCCTGTCTCTGCTCTCAGGTCTGATTTTCTGCTATTCCTCTTGCCAATTGAGTATAAACCAAGAACACCTTGGGAAATGCAGCCAGTGAGATACAGGAAAATAACTATGGAATGATTCATGCTGGGAGAAAAGTAGGAAAGATGTATCTCACTGACAAAAAGAACAGTAAAAGAATGAAATCCTTTTCTTAACTAAAGCCTGAACTGCTGCAAGATGTTCCAACTTTTACTCCCGTCCCTCATTGCAAGAATTTTAAATAATAGTCCACCACCTTCTCGAGAATTGCCTAGGAACAGGTGAATCCAAGTGGCCCCAATTAAGGACACATGCTGTTGTCATGCTGTCAACCAGTGACCGTCAATGCCTTCATGGCTGACAGTGGAGATGTCACCATGTAAGCATGGTACTTCTGAAGACAGGGAAGGAGATGAGAAAATATCCACAAAGCAAACAGGCTTGGGTGGAGAACCCAGGGAAACCGAGCGTGGAGCCATCAGCCCCGCATGCAGGTCAGAGAGGACAAACTGATCCTTTCCAACCTCATCCTGAAACGGCCACATTCCTTCACATGCCACTTGCATCCACTCAGACATGTTCATATGATGATACCCAGACTCCAAAGAACACTACATGCAAAATAATTTGAAATTATCTCTTCAGGCAAGCCTTAGTGATCTCCCACTATCCTGGAATCACCATCACCATAGGAAAAGCTCTGACATCCAGTGAAACAAGACAGGTCTTAGAGACTCAAAGGTAGCAATGCAAGTGACAGAGTGGTGGGCTGACCATCAAGAACAGGTGAACTTGCTTTTTGAGCCCTGCTCCCTGCTGGGAACACAAAAATAACTAGGCAGAGAAGAACATCAGAACCAGCACAAGGTGGTCAGACCACTCCATGCATTTTTTGACTGGTCATTTAGCATGCTGCATGAAACACCCACGAGAGATGCAAATGTCTTGAAAGACATTGGCTTTTAAGAACAAAGAACCAAAATGACATGCAGGTGCCTCTCCAGGCTGATAAAGACAGGAAAGCCTCCCACCCACAACAAAGCGAGTGAGGGTGGGATGAACACGAACTTCATTCCAGATCAAGTGCAAAAGTACTCTCAAAAATATTAACCATCTGGAGCAAGTCAATTATATATACACAGAACTTGCAGATAAGTGTATATATAAGAAAACCAATCAAGGTTTACTACTGGCTCCCTTAATGCTGGGGGCACTTTTTCAGCCTTTTCCATTGTCTCAGAGCTCTCTTTTCCAAGCACTCTCAAGCCCAGCATATTTCAGCCTCCCCTTATATCCATCTCCCTCGAATTTACCAAAGGAACGATGATGAGTTGGAGCCATGATTTAGAGCAGTTCGGTGGACAACAGAAGAAAGAAGATAAAAAAGCAAACCTGGAAGGTGAAACAGTGAAATACCTGTGGTTGCCAGTGCTGTCAAGGTCTGACCACCTTGCCCATCAATTACACCATGGAGCTGAACTGTGTAATTAGTGGCAGCTTTGAGGTTGGTGACTACATAGTGCCGGGAGGCCCCTGGCACTGTGTGCACCAGGGAGTCCAAAGGGAAGTCAGAGTTTCTGACTTCTAGAATAAAGTGGTCAAAGGCATTGTCCTGTGCTTCCCACGTGAGTGACATGCTGTCTGAGGTAGCATTTGATACAGTGAGTTTGCTAAGGAGAGGTTCCTCTACTATAGGAAGAAAAACAAATGGAAATGTATTGCAATTATTAAAACCCAAAGCAACAAAATAAATTAATATAGAAGTTCAATTCCCATGAGCGACAGGTCACAAAGATCATCTAGCCTTGTGTTTCTCAATGTTTTTCATACCACCACCCCTGCAGTCACCCTGCCCCTGTTACCCATGATTCAGTGATTCACAATCTGCTGATGCTAGAAACGGCAATTCTGTAATACCTGATCACTGAAATTGGATATTCTACTTTATGTCCTTGGCCACATTAATCTATTGCTATGATAAACTGCTATGACAACTTTTCCTAAGATCATGTCAGCAGGCAAAATTTGGTAGAGATATTAAATGATCACAACATGAGCTATTATCTGCCTAATATGAGAATCACCTTCTGCTTCTGTAGTCTAGTCCTCTCCTTTCACTTTCATACTGTAATTGGCTAGAACACATCAAACATTTGGCAACCTCATCTTTTCTGGAAAAACTAATTCTAAAACCTCGAGATGTGCAATGTGCCAACAACTAAATGCCTACCTATTTCATTAACCAACATCAAGTCAAATGGACTCTCCCACCCAATGTAAACTGAATTCTGAAGTTGAATTCAAACAATGCATCTGCCTTGTAGGAGTCTGCTGTCACAGACTGAAATGTCCCTGAAACCTATTTGAGAATCAGGATTAAAAGCGTATCTAGAAATCAGCTTATCTAAGAAAAATAGTGTCTATACTGTGTGACAGATGCAAACACATGTTGCAAGGCTAACATAATGAATCATCTCCCACCTGGTTCTTGGGAAATTTGTTTTGCTTCTCATCTGTGTCAGCGGTTGCCCCAACCTTAACGTATGAACAAGAACAAACTTATTGTGTGAATGAAATCACATCACAATGTGACTGACTGACTTTGCTGGATGGGATGATGGATTAACATTCACAGTTCAAAAAGTCCCCGGCAGGTCTTCCTTAGAAGGTGTCAAACATTGAGGTAGAGGATTTGGTAATGGGTAGACTGATGGGGTAGCTGAGGGCAGGGAAAGGGGTACAACCTGTAAGGAAGAGTTAGAAGAAAGAAGAGTTAGCATTGAGGTAGGTTTCATATACCTGTTGTAGCTGCAGCACTTATTGCCTGTGTGCGGAAACCACGAGAGATCCCATAGAGGTAGACAATAAAATCAGTGCTGGGGGAAAGCCCTGAGATATGAGCAGTTCTTGAATTGCCTGAGATGTTGAACTCCATGGGCTCCAGAAACCTGTTAGAATCAATAATTTCAATAGTAAAGACGTCGAAGTCCCCACTGGTGGTTGTCCAAGAAAGGTTGAAGCTTTCAGGAGTAATGTCGGAAACGGTTAGCTCACCAACTTCTGGGAGTGCTCCTGAGGAGGGAAACAACATCGGTCAGAAGGGGAGAGCCCTGTACCTCCTCCTGTCAGAAATGCTGTGCTGCTCTCTGCTCATGCCAGCAGCACTCCAAGCTGCCATTGGAGAAGAGGGTTTGAGTAAAAGCTTGCTACAAGCAGACAGGTACTAAGGGGAAGAATTCAAATTAAAGAATCTCAAAATGTTAAATAAGAAAAAAAGGCAAGGAAAAAAAAAAAAAAGAAAAATAAGCTTTAAAGCTATGGCTGTTTCCCTTTACCTCCAGGAGCAGAGCAGCCATGCATCTTTGAGGTCTGAGCATGAAAACAGATGCAAAAGAACTTTTCTGAATGCCCCTGGGACACTTGGAAAAGTCAGCTTCCAGATTTAGAAGAAGCTAAAACTAGAGCTATTGCTATATCCGAAGGAAAAGGTTGTGTTTTGTTTGCTCTTCTACTTTCCCTTTCAGCTTAAGCCTATGAAAGCTGGCATGTAATTTTGGAGCTGGAGCCAAAATGCAAAACAGTGATAGTTGCCTTGGGGTTTCTTCCTCTCTGTAGACATCTCTGCCGTGTTACAGGAAGGCTCAGAAAATTCTGACAATTGCAAGTCCCCAGAAGGGAAAATTTTGAAAAGCCGGGTGCTGAGCATGACCCAGAAAGGGAAAGGAAAAACCTCAGCAGGGCATCTTCTGCTGTTTTCATTACGTTGATAAAAAGAGAGCACATTGCACATTTAGGCAGGACACCCATGCTGTCTGTTTTCTTGTTTGTCCCTGGACAGGCTCCTTTGTCTGGCCACATTTGTTTATTCTCAATGGGCAATCTGCTACCAGCTCACACTCAGGACTCTCAAGGCACAGGACTTCTAGCCTGCAGCGGGACACAGCCCAAGGCAAGTGCTTTGTGCCAGACTCGTTTCTACCTAAGCCAGGCTGCCTAAAGCATTAGAGAAACAAGCAAGCTCTACTGCGTTTCATGTTTTAATTCTGCTTAGTTGTTAAGTGTACTTTTATCCTCTTCTGTTCTGGGTAACATGTGCTTGGGGAAATCAGATATGAGCAAGCTCTGGCTATCTCACAATCACAGGAGGTTGCAAAGGTCTGTAAGGAAGCCCAGAGGCAGCAGATATTGTCTACAAGAAATTACCTGAAGGAAGAGCACTGGTGCCCCTTTACTGCCAATCAATCCATACCCTGTTCATTACCAATGATGATCACACCTGGAAGAATCAGTGAGCCATACAGGGTAGACGTAAGTATCTATTTACCTCTCACAGTCAAAGCTCATGATGAGTTCTCATTTAAAACTTCTGTCTTTCACAAGATCAGCCAGAAAATTATTTTTGTGGCTCTTGATTAGTTTCATGCCAGTATCTGATAATGTGGGGCTTGCCTTCCTTCTTTCAGGTCAGTTTTATGCCATGGTAGTTCTGCTGAGTTTATTCTTCTTGCATTACATCTTTTTCAGACCAATCAGACTATTTAAAAATCTTATGTGTCTTAATATATGACATCACTCTTGGCGGGAATTCATCTGTGTTCTCTTCTACATGTGAACATACAGAAAGAAGGTGTCTGTCCTTGCCCTTGAGTCAGATGCACACACTATATCCCTGAGTTTGTATTTATACAAAAGCTCATGCATAATTTCAGAGGTAGCTTCTGAAGGGTAAAAACTAAACATACTCTCAGGCTTTGATTATTTGGGCTATAAAGAACAGATTTTTATAATTTTACAAGGCAACCTGGGATTTCCCAAGCATGTACCACAGACAGATGGGTTTTGCTGTTAGTGTCAACCAGCAGAAAAGTGAGTAAAGGGAACAAACCAAGTCATTCTGAGGTAGGAAAAAAAGCATTCCTAAAAATGAAGGGCTCCATAGGGGCACAGAGACTCTTATTGGAAAGTCTAATCATGAGACGTTTCCATGCCAGAGATGTTCAGCCAAGCTTTAATGAGTTCAGTGCACCCCATGCAAAGCCGAGCCAGTGAGCAAGCTTTGCCGAGCAGCTGCAATAGCTCTGGCTCACATCCCTGTCTGCGAAGAAAGGGAGCCATGAGTCTGGGTGAGTGACTTGAAAAGGTACCTGTCACGGTTTCAACAGAAAGGGGTTTGGTCCTGTAGCCTTGAATCACACCACGAAGTGTGATGATATAAGGTGTGTGGGCCTTGAGCCCTGTAACATTCATAAAGCGCAGTCCGCCTGGGACTGTGACATTCCGGGTTTCGTCGGGATTGTCAGACTCCTGCACCTGAATGATAAAGTTCTCATAGGCCCCGTCGGCTGCTGTCCAGGTGAGCTGGAAACCATCCCAGCCAGTCTCCGATACCGATAATTTTCCAAGCTCAGGTTCCTCCTCTGAATAAGGACAGAGAGTCAATCAGTTACTCATATTACAGACTAGTGGTGATGTCGTATTATTTAATGATGTTCCGTGTTAATGAATTTCACTCATAATCAGTGACACAGAGATGCACCCCCACACACACACATCTACATTCTCAGCTGCCCCAGATAACTTGTAAAGTCTCTTCAGAGATATGGCAAGACAGAACAGTAAGGAAAGAACTGTAATAAATAATAACCAGATTAATGACAAAAGACTGCTTACAGAAAACAGCTTACAGACCATCTTACAGCTGCAACTGTTTTGCCAACATTAAATACAACTCCATATGAGACAAGTAAGTATTACTATAACCCCTTTACTGCACTATTAAAAACTCAATGTTTGCCTTTATGAAGTGATCGTGAATACAGCGATAATGCCCGTTGTAAGTGTAGGAAGACACTGAGTTCAGAGTGGCTGGCATTCAGATATTTATACTTTTAATTGTGTCCATGTGAAGGATGCTATTTATTCTTCCAAACTATTTCTAATCCAGAACAATAAAGAAGGGGAAAATTCCTCCCTATTTGCATATCTTCAGTTTAATGGATTCATCTTTCGTATGTGACATTATTCTGTCCAACCATCCTGGGGGCATAGAAGGTTGGACTTTCAGAATTACTGATATCAATCTAAAATTTAAATCTGCATTCACAGAAATCAACATTCTCATAAACCATCACATGGGTGGCCAGGGAAGTTGGGAACCATCAGAGCTAACTCTCTGATGCTATTAAATCTGAAAGTTTAGGTCCTTTTTTCAGCAAGAGTAAAGTCCTCTGTTACAGAGGAAACACAGCTGCTTCCTTAAAATTAGCAGTCATATGGAAAAATGACAGAGCAATACCTGGGTTTTTTCTACATGGAGAATCTTGCTATGTGATATATCACTGACCTGTGGACTGCGATGACTTTCTAGCACTTTTCTTATACATAAGCATTACAATAAGAACAGTCTATCTGAATAATTCCAATCTGCACGGCTAAGTATTTATAAGAGATGAGGCACGAAGGGAAATGGATATGATTTGTCAGTTGTGAACTTCAAGATTTATGCATATTTTAAGGCAGAAGATAAAGGGGTCCTGGAATAAATGAAAATTAGGCTCAGCAACATTACTCTCATAAATCTTCCCTCTGTGAAAACAGAGTACTTATTGTATGACTGCTGCATAGCCTTATATAGGTAGCTGAGGTTATATTTTCAGAAGTTGAGCACTCATAGATCACAGTCAAATATCTTCAGTGAGATTCAGCAATGTATAGTAAATTGCTACTACTCAGGAATACAAAAGTTTTGAGGAGCTTTTCCCACCCTGTTAGAAAGGAATGAGATTATTTATGATATAACACAATGATGTTAAACAAACAAACAAACAGCAATCATGAATCCAGAGCTGTTTTGCTTTATCAGGAACAGAAATGAGACTCATCTAGGCAAAATATGAATCCTGTCAAAATAGCACTTTTTAGCTGAAAAAGAAAAAGCAGGACAGGAAAGGAATTGGTTATATCAGAAATAATGATATTTTGGTGGGAACAGAAACAAATATTATAAAACAAACACAATTCCTTAAAATGAAAATGTAACTAACCCAAAAGAAACAGTAGGATAAAATCTTTTAAGTAAAAGCTTGATTATAGTAATGCAGTAATGATCACAGCGTAAAAGCAATTTAGATTTCTCTGAAGAGTGCTCAGTTTCATTCCGTTCCAAGATGCAGAGTCCCTTTTCCTCCCATTTGCTTCTCATGCATGTCTGAAATGGAAGTGCACATAACCCCATCATGCTTTCTAGGGACCAAGAGATTCTCATACAAAATCATGCACCAACTGGACTGTTGGAGACCTCCAAAAGCCTCATCCATAAAGCATCCAACATATATGACAAAACAATGACAATGTCATGGCAAATGATATCAAGGGATGATGTTTCTTATTAAAAAAAAAAAAAAAAGAGAGAACAAACCATTGAGAGATGAGACTACTCTAGCATTGTAATAGGTGTGAAATAATCAGTGTGTTTCTATGTAAATATTTTATCTCATGTTGTTAGTTTGGTTTTGGGTGGTGGACAGGTACAGTCATTAGTCTTCAGCTAGGCTCTCCAGATATGAACTTATGCCCTGGTACTTTGATCATTATTGAACAGACCCCTGTGACTATAGGCCTGTTTCTTCATGAAATTCATGTAATGGAGTTAAGAGGTGGAAGTTTTTGGAAAGGTATGCTCCCAATGTGTTACAATCTTTTTTTTTTCTCTGACATCACCACTTCCATGCCAATGCTGCAAACTGTAACCTCCTTGCAATCTTTCTTGTGTTTGAACCACAATCCAGATAAATATCTGTAGCATCTTGCTATTTTCATGTGCCGTGTAAATAGCAGATGCATCAATGTCTCTCTCTGCATGCAATTTGAAAAGAGAGAATTGATGCTACATCACCTTAAAAGCTGCATGGGGCATTGTCCATGCTGCACCACTCAAGGCTCTCATTCCACAACAACAAGAGTTTTATCCGTGCAAAAGGAAGAAAGAAAAATAACAGCTAAGAAGAAATGCATCACTCACAAAGCCTAGCATTTCTGCAGTGGAACAGCAGTACGAAAATGAAATTCTCTATTTCAAAGCAGAAAAGGAACATATGGCTAATGAATCCATAGAAAATACCTGTAGCAGCTAGGGCTTCCAGGGACCAAGAGAGCTGACCTTGAGTGCTTCCATGAAGGTTTATCTGGTACTGTGTGCCAGCTGTGAGATTGGTAATTTCTGTTTCTCGATGATTTCCCGGCAAAAAGATTTCCTGTGTTCTGTTTAAACTGGACAGGTCTTTCAGAGTGATAAAGAACTGATCAAATACCTCATCCTGTGCTGCCCAAGACAGGGTGAAACTACTGAAAGTCCTGTGTGTTATATTAAGGTCATGAAGAGCACCAGTGGCTTCTGAGATGGGAAGGTCAGTGGGCACCGAAAGCAGAGCGTGAGAATCAGTGCTGGGGTTTGTTAAATAGCTTAGCTCTGTAGGTGCAGGACTGGTAGGCTTAAGTGATGTTTCATTGATTGATTCTCCAGGTGTTGTGACTAGATGTGCTGAACAGAAGTAAATTACAAGTTAAAATTTCCTGATAATAAACCCCCAAATATAGACAGCTAACATCTGCTACAAAACAGCTTATGAGCTTTGCATTAAAGAGCTGTAAGACCTGACAAAACAGATGGGTACTTCTTTTTTGGAGACTGAATCCAGGCCACGAGCAGAGGTAGCATCACCAAGCACAGCATAGTTCTGACACTAACTAGCAGATCCATAACAACAACCATTAAACACAGAGATGAGCTGAAATGCTTCCAGCAGAGAAACAGGCACGTCCTCAGTTGATGTAAATCAGTACACCTTGATTACCTCCAAAGAACTTTGTTAATTTACATCGGTGAGGATTGGAACCCTAAGTGTCTCAAACATGCCTTTTATCTTTACTACATCATGTCAGTTATTGCTTCTGATACAAACCATAAGTGGAATGCATGCCAAATATTGCAAACATATCCAAACCCAGACTGAGAAATCAACCACAGCAGAAGCATGCGAAATCTCATCTTATCCAATCAAAACCAGGCTCGGAGGAGTTATCCATCTGGATACATGCAGAATTTTAAAAAAGGCAAGGGGGGACACACATCCTTACCTAAAAACTAGGACAGAAAGAACTTGAGCAATCTTTCTTTAAAGAGATCCAAAGGAACGGAAGGGAAAAAGACTTGGCCTTCAACATGCTGAATGATCTGTGAATATATCCTGTAGTACAGTCAGATTCTGAAAATCTGAAAACTGTGGAGATCACAGAGAATGTGTTTCTGATCACAGCTGCAAGGCCACAGGCAGGTGATTTTTCTGACATGCAGAATTATCTCCTCATTAGTGGAAAACCACATCATTTCACACCTCAATGACTTCCTTGCTTTCATGCTCCACTTGCATTCAATTAAGAGAGAGCAAGTCATCTACCACCATCAATCAGATCAGCATTAATACATACTCAGGATTCAGTATCTGTCTCCAAATTCACACATGTATCAGAAAAAAGTTTTCAGAGAAGAAAGTTCAATTAAAAATGTTTTAAAATAAATGCAGAAATGTTATCTTGAAAATATACTCTCAGGACAAATACAGATGTAAAACCATTGTGATTTATATTTACATATGTCATTTATATTCCTGATTTAGGTAAGGGCCCTCCTTAAATTACACCAGCACATGATCTGAACCAGGCCCTACATATGCTGCAACCTGAAGGCAGCCATGCTGTCATCACACTAGCATACCTGCAATGGTAACCTCTACCATAATTCCCTCTTTCTCAGTAAACCAAATGTCAGAACTATTAGCTGACTGCACTGGGGCTACTGAGCCCAGATAACAAAGCTGGAAGCCATGCAGTGTGGAACCACTAGCCACTGCGACTATCCGCTGCTTGCGCACAATTAGATGCCAACCAGCTCTTCCCTCTTCTGGGAACAGGCAAAAGGCTACAGTATTAAGCAAGCGCACTGGTACTTGTTCAGCCTTAAGGCTGTCTAACATGTGTAGCAGTAGCTGGGCTTTACTGTGGACTACTTCTGCAGAAGACATGCATAGGTAGAGTGAACAGACCAGGGGCAGGAGAGAGCAGCAGGACATTACACCTCCATGCTGTGGATGGTCCCACTGGGAAAAACCCATGCGCCCTGAACTGGAAACTGAGGACAAAACATACAAAAATACAAGGGAAAAAGAAAAAAGAAGTCTGGCATTACGTTCCTGATATGCTGAGAAGTAAGAAAACCTTGTGTAATATTAATCAAAACTGGCTTCTCATGTTCCCTCATTTTACTTGACCATCCCTACTGACATTTCTCCCAGATTCCTGCCAGTTCTAGTATAACCACACAAGGACTTGGCTATTCCAATTGGAATGGGAAATACAGCAGCAGTTCAACTGTATTACATGACAACTGATGCACCAACTACCTAAGTGGCATTTTAATTCAGAATTTTGCTGCCACAAGTCGATTAATTTTATTGCGCCAATTTTGGCAACTACACAGGAAGTTGCCATGTACAGCTTATCTCATGGAGCAGATGTAATTATAAGTAGTTATATTACCTTTGATTTTTTTCAGACTTTATTCTGAATATTACCTTGGGTTTAATGACTTGACTCCACAAATGAATTCATAGATGAGAAAGAGTGGTCTACCCTCTGCACACATATAAACGCACATATACCCCACATTAAGCTAATGTGCATGGAGGAGTATGTGGCTTTGTGTACAAACAACCAACAGACAGAAAAATGAAAACTATATGAATATATGAAAAATACTCTGATACCACAGACAGTATCAATGTTCATTGTTTAGCAGATAGAATACTATAACAGATAACGAAAAATTTGGAAAAGAATCAAACTGTAGGATAACAAGATCAACGGAGTTCAAACACTTGACTTAGCAATTAGGAGAATAGATAGGGAGAAGAGAAAGAGAACTCCGGGAGCCCTAGGTGGGTGGATGACAGCCAGATAGAATGATTCATGGTGGCATGATGAATGAACAGTAGATGCTAGAGAGCTGAAAGCTATGTAGAAGGGAAACTGGATGGACAACAAACATATGCTCTTTATCAGACAGGAATACTTCTGAATATCATTCTCTTAGTAAAATCTTCAAGCTGAATATGGCCTAAATACATCTGTCCTGCTGTTGCTAACCTTTTGAGGAATTCTATTGTAATGCTTAATTGGCAATTTTACTAAAAAGAATGTTAATGTTCTGCCAGGACATTTCCCCAGTTCCTTGGGAGAGAGCAAACAGTATTCTGTATTATTTCTTGCTTCTGTCTCTCAGATTTTATATTATTTGCCAGGAGGGGCTATCAGCCAGTTTCACTGCAGGGTCTCACCAGCTCAAGCACACTGCAAGACATGATGGCCTACCAAGGTATTTGCATTCTTTCCAGAGCCCTTTGGCTAAATGGCTTTCCCCTCTCCCAACCAGCTGATTAAACTGGGCTTACAGTGCTTGTGTACCTCTGAATTTCATAAAGAAAGCATTGCAGGATATCACAAGCCAGAAATACTACAGTAGCTACCACTATAAATTCTCACACTGAAGTTGGGTTCCAGGTACTCTCATCTCAGCAGAGGAATCAGCTGAAGAAATGAACAATCTTTACTGGCAAATTCCCAGTGGTCAGCACTGCAGTTTCCAATTGAGCTGGCTCACCTAATTATTATTCCTAATGTTTCTTTGAGTTTGTATAAAACAGAGTGGTGCAATCTAAGATCAGTAGAAGCCAGGAGAGGAAGAGGGACTGACGCACAACACAGACAAGGGTCTTTGGTAAACAGCATAAATCTTTCTTAAAAACATTCAACGGAATAGGAAAGTTACTTCTCCAAGCCATGCTCTTATGTGCGACTCACTTCCAGAGGCAAGACAGTATCACATCCACGATTCATCAACAGTTGCTGCACAATCTGGGTCCTTCAGCAGAGGAATTTAAGGTTGGCACTTGGTTTCTCTAATGTCCACTCATTTATCTCCACAGGCCTCTCGTGCTTGATGTATTACCATCAGTCCTCCTCCAGGACCCACATTGTGCTATGGAGGCAGAGTTCCAGAGCCAGAGTAAGAAAGAACAAAGCTGCAGTCTGACTGCTCAGCTTCCTCAGAGCTGGGTTACGTGCTCACCCTACAGATTAGCTGTTAATCTGATGCAACATTCTCAAAACATGCTCCAGAAAGATCCCTCCAACTAATAAAATGGCTCATTTGCTTTGATGTCTGAAGTGGTTCTAAACCAAAACTTTAGTGCGATGCTGGGTGGGACCTCTAACAGACAAGCTGTACTCTAGCTTGTGATACCCTCGTTAATAACAGAAAGGAGGTACCTGTTGTGGCCACAGCTTCCAGAGGAGAAGAGCGCTGTTCTCCAGCCAATCCATACACCTTGATTTTATAGGAAGTATTAGCTTGGAGGCCGTCAATCACAGCACCCAGGGATTCTCTGGGCAGGAAGGTTTCTGCAGGGGGCCCAGCTGCCAATGACACTTCCTCGTACTCCACCACAAAACTACTGTAGGCTCCTGTATTCGCATACCATGAGACACTAAAGCTGTGGTCTGTTACCCTTGAGACCACGAGGTCCCTCAGTGCATCCTCCTGCATCCCTGAGGTCTCTGGAGCAAGAAAGCTCCCAGAGCCAGAAAGCTCCTCTGGATCAGGAGTCATTGCCTGCATTATGGTTAGACTATACAGAGCTACAAAGAAACAAACAAGCAAATGGCAGTGTGAAATACTTAGTCTTTCCTTTTCAGAAAAACAAAATAATAATTAGCAAACTGTTCACTTAATAATCGTTACCATCCCTTGAATGAAGAATCATGGACATCAGTTAAAAACCCCCACTTCATAACCTGAGCTGCATTTCCTCCATATGAAGAGATCGAAGAAACAGAAGGCTGCCAACCTATACAATGGAAGATTTTGTGACATATCAGTTGTTAGATGCTCTGAGCTTGGAACATTTAATCTGTCTGTGTGTGGAGAGTTGATATATATAAAAAGACAAGAAGAAGAATGTGATGAGAGGGGTGAGAAGGCACCAACAGAAGATCTTCAGCTCTGTGGCTGAAAGAAGCTTTACCCTCAGTGATGGAAAATTCACTATGCAAACAAATAAAAATAATGTGTGGGAAACTCCTGAATATCTGCCAGCAGAGAAGCCTGACTGAACCATCAAGAGGTTGGAACGAATATAAAATGAAAAACTGGCAATCTGCAGAAGCAAAGGAAACTCTGAAAAGAAAAACTCTCAGCTCTTCCACAGTCCCTGGCTCCCTTGTTCAGCAGGGATGGCACATGCCCCTCCAAACAGCAGGACTGTCTCCTCCACCCACTGAGAAGAGCTAGTCCAGTCCTAGCTGTGCTACTGGCATTTTCCACTTCAATCATTCCTCTGGTTGCTCCAAGAACTCTGCCCAGCAGTGCAGTGGACCTGAGGTCCCCCATTGCTCTGAAAGAGACAGTAAAACAACAAGTTTGTTTGGCTTAGCCTGAGGACTTCAGGACCTCCCAAGTACTGGGAACATGGATAAATAGGACTGACTTGAGGGTGGATGAAAAGTAAACTGAAGAAGAGACCTCTTGTCTTATACCCCACAGGCTTACAGAGCACTTCTGCCTCCCCATGCTTACGTGTGTGGATTTGTCCATTCCTACGCAGAAGGAAGGTCACAGAGACAGGTTATGTCAACTACTGCTGTTGCTTCTAAGGAGCCCGTTGCGGAGAACTCTTTGTTTACTGGCTGCTCTGAGTGAAGACTTAAAACAAATACACTGGCCAGATGAATGTATTTATAAAAACACAAAAACCAAACCAGGAAAAAAATGCCACCTTGTGAGACTTTGGGGGTTGGTGCTGGAAAGACCAGAATGTGAAATTCCACAGCATTCTGTTTCTGTCTTTTCACCATCTACGCACACTTGTTTTGAGACCACTCAGTCTTCAGACTGATGGGGAAACAGATAACTTTGGAAAAATCAAAGCCTGCTCACTCCTGTCACATAAACCTTCAGCTTCCTTTTGCAAATGTGTGCCTCAAGGCTTCCTAATATTTCCCTACACTGGACACAGGCCTGGCATACATCAAACAAGTAGTTCAGTAGTGATGGTTTTCTGTAGTTCACACCATACCATGTAACTCTCTGCTGTACTGGGTTACTTCACTCGATAAAGCAGTCAGAGGTTCTGCTGGCATGGACACTAACATGAGTATGAAACTAGTTTTGATCAGTAAAATCCACAACTTCTGTCATGTGTTTACCTCATAGATGGTCTTTGGGGAGGAAAGGATAAACACCTTGATATCTGCTACGGACAATAATTGTAGCCCAACTGATTCTGATTTCACTGTCTATGTTTACTTACAGCCGTTAAGGCTTTGCCTCACAGGACTTAGCCTGAAGACATGTAAAGATTCAGGACTTATTTGTGTTCTATACCAAGGTATAATTCTGTATGCAACAAGCTTTGGGTCAAAATGTTTCACAAAGAATAAAACACCTTTCCATAAGTAGTCCCCTGATACTGGTTAATAGGAGTGGTTTGTACAAATGGAGATGGCAGAAATGGGCCCCTTCTTTGTAGACAAATGTGACAGTCATGGTGTCCAATGGAAACAGTGACTGTGACCAGATTTGTGGTGGTAGCCCTTCTTGCTTTTGGATGAGAAAACTGAAAAAGGGCAACATCAGAGCCCCGTTGTCCCTGCTGAAGCATGATGGGTGAAGGCATGCTGTGAAGAGAATTCATTAGGCAGGAACAAGTGATGTTAAATATATTCTAGTTGCTCTTCCTCTTAGTTTTTGGCTGTAGAAAACAAAACAGGTTGTAAGACATAATGCAGAAAAAAAAAAAGCATTTAAAACAAAGGATGATAATTGTATTTCCTGCAGGACAAATAGCTGCATTCTTTGTGAGTCTTCTCAAAGGATAAACAAGAAATGTTTGAGAACATGGAGCTATACACAGTAGGTAGGGAAATACACAGCTATCCCTCAGTTACATCTATCATACTAGACAGAGCTAAGTCTGCTCTGCAGGAAACTGATGTTTTTAAACATTTCCCAGACACGGCTTACAAAATCAGGTGAAGTTGTACATGGGCTAGTCATTGCCCAGTGACCTGGTGCCCGGCACTCATCAAAAGCTGTTACTCACCAGTCGAACCCTTGACAGTTGTGGGTTTGCTTTTGTGTCTGCCTTTCTCCGCCACCAGACTAATGGTGTATTGTGTCCCCGCATCCAGTCCTCGGAGGATAAAAGAGGTGCTGTCCATGGGGATCTCCATTTCATTCTTCCTTCCAGAGGGGCTGACGTAAATGAGGCGATAACGGTCAAACTTGGCCACTGGTCTTCTCCAGCGAAGGGATAAGGTGGTTTCAGTGGGGTCACTGACTTCCAAGTCCTTGGGGTTATCAAGATCTACAGGATAAAAAAAGCAAAGTCGAGGTGTTTCTGAAACAGTCCTGGTACAGTTTTTCAGGCATCTGCAGACAGAGTAACATCTGTACTGGGTGTCTAGCAACAGCTCAGTCTTATTAATCTTTTGGAGCTTTTGAAACCTCGTTGTTTGATATAGGTAGAGGATGATGAAACTCTCTTTTACAGACAAACCACACTAGAATGAATTATCCCCCCTTACACTCACATCAGCACTGGACGGAGGAGAGGCAGAATTTAAGCCTTCAGAGAATTTACCTGGGAAAAGGGGGATACTGAGAAAAAAATCTTGGATTTGAAGGGCAGTCAGGACTATTGCAATCACTGAGGCTGCACTCTTTGTCAGATCAGCCTTTTGGCCACAACTACCATTCCTGCCAGAAACCCTCACAATTAGAGGAAGGCTAGAGTAATCAGTGTAAGCATAATTACCATTAAGGATAATTATGGAGATGAAACTCCCAGAACATTAAGAGATCCTTGTGCAGGAAAAGGAAGCCAGATTCAGAGGTCAAGATCTTTGGGGAAATGATTTTTCTTTCCCTTGAGGGGAAATGTCTCATTGGTACCAAAATGAAATCAAGAACTTTCTAAAATATTTCTTACAGCATCACCTGGAAATGAAAGAAACATCAGAGTGGCTCCCCTTGACTTGCTGCTCCCTCCAGAGCACAAAGGGGGATCAAGCTACTCACCAGTGCCAGCATTAATGGTAGCAGGAGCGCTTTCCCTGTCCTGCCTCACTGCTGTCACTCCAATGCCATATTCCGTTCCAGGCCTCAAACCTAAGAGATGAGGAATATAAATATGGGTTCCTGTCCATGGAATATGCCTACAGGCATTTAGTTAAGTAAGGAAGCCTGAATGTATACAAGGCAAGATATATACTCTCCTGTGTATGCAGAGAATCGAGGTTTCAGTTGACCCTCCAGCTGACCTAATGTTAATAAATCTTCTGTGTATAAGCCAAAGGATAAAAACTATGGCTGACTGAGATTGAATGTTGGACACTGTGTAAATGCATGATCAGAGATAGCTTCTACTTTCAAGGTACTTCTGCCAGAGAAAAGCAGGTAGACATCCATGTGACATGGAGAAAGAACCATTATCTACATTTGCAGGCTGGCAAGACAGCTTTCAGGTACACAGAAAAATTGCAGACTGGCATCAGCAAATACCATCCCTAGCACATGTAAAATCCTTTTGAACTCAGGGATGTGAAGGCATCTCCACAAAGACATGTAATTATCTAGAACTGAGAGAACTCACTAGTGGGATTCAGAGATGCACATGAAAGTGAAATGGCTACAAACCTTCTGCTGGCTCGTTATCCATCTGCAGGTGTGCCAATGTATGTATTTTAATTTAATTGCTTGTACTCAAAATGCGTAACCTCTGCTTGTACCTCTTATGTATAATGACCAAAAAGGCATTTTTTCACTGTACTACTGTGCTCTAGGGTGATGGCAGCAGCATGACATTAATAACAATCTCTCCATTCCCCTACCTGTGAGCGTTGCTCTGGTTGTTGCTTGGTTGCCCTTTGGCACTGTGATCTCAGCATGGTCTCCACCAGAGATGGGAGCAAACTTAATTCGATAGTTATCAATATTTGCATGGCTGTTCTTCCACTCCAAAGTAATGCTATTGTCTGTCTGTGACACCCGCTTCAGGTTTCTTGGAGCATCCAAGTCTGTAATCAATCAACAAATAAATAAATAAATAGGAATAATTCTCTTATGAGAGCAACCTCTTATAACAGTACTTTTTAGAAGGTGAAATGATCCATAAAGCTGAAGTTAAGTTTCCTCTCACGTGACACTACTATATTCTTAACTACATCAAGCAAATTTCTTTTAGCATGAAATAGAGAGCTCACAAGCTTTGGGGAAAACATCAGTGAAAGAAATACAACTTTCATCTCCTAAGACAAAAATAACATTTTCAATTTTATTATTTTTTATTACAAAATAGGCTTGTGGAAAAACATATTTGGATGAAAGTACTATTTTTTCCTTTATAAATACCTCAGCTTTCAAAAGGAAAAAGGATGCTAAGAAAAAAGCATCGATCATCTCTAGAATCTCTGTTCAGTAAATATCTTGCATTCATGGCTGAAAGGAACTCTAAGTCTCAAAACAAAAGGTGAATATTATATAGAAATTCATTGGGCTTTCACTATTCACACCTATAGTCGACTCAAATCCTGCTCTGAATGAACAACTACCTCTTAGGAAAAGGGAAGTAATTCTCTATGTACCATTTACTCAGCTCCCATAATGCATCAAACCTTGACAAGATGCTTAGAGACCCATACTTATATGAAACATTCCCAGGATCACTAAGGAGCAAGGTACATTTATAAAAGCATGACAGAAAACATTTGCAGAAGTGAAGGAGGAAAAAAAAAAAAAAAAAAAGCATTTCTCTGCTAATCTATTATGCATTTAGACAAACAGAAATAAGGTCTTAAATGGAATCGGAACCATGGAAGTTATTTAGCTCAACAGACAGGCAAGTAATCCAGAGGCATTTGTTTCCTGAAGTAGAGATTTAGGGTATGGTGAACAAAAGCTTCTAAAAGACTTAATAACATAATTCCCATTTTCAAAATATATTTAGATACTTGCGGGTGGTCTAAATATTTTGTTGGGCAAGTAAGGTATATAAGACACAGAAAAACATTCTCAACTTTCATGTACCTCTGTAACAGTGCTGATTCCGTGTTGATGCAGTAACTATCAACTCAAGCAAGATGACGCAAAGAGCACAGGAAGATTGATGGTGCCTGCAGTACCTTCCCAGAGGTTTGGGTTGGTATCCAAGGCTCTTACCTGTGACAAAGACTTCTTTCATGGGGTCGCTTTCCATGTCACCTCGACGAGAGATGAGCATCACTTCATACTCTGTGTGTGGCCTCAAGTTTCCGATAGAATATTGGTTTTCATCTTCAGAGAGGTCAATGGTTGTCCTGTCCCCTGGAACATCCTTGGGGCCATAAGTGAGCTCTATGCCTTCAATTTCAGCCAAGGGTTTGGACCATGTGATAAGAGCTGTGGTGTCCGTGACATCTTTTGCCTCGATCTGGCTAGGGGCATCAAGCTCTGTTACAAAAAGAGAAAAAAGTGGTTTTTTTTTAAAGAAGTCTTGCCAGAAAAATCATACACATTCTTTTGCTTTTAATTGCTGATTCAGAGCAAAATTAAAATGAATGGCTTCTACAACTGAAGCTTATCTTCATTCACTTTCTTCCTTTACTTTCTATAGCTGTAGAAGAAAGTGCCAAATGGAGTCAATTCATCAGAAGCAAATTCATCAAAATTTAACATCAGAAGCTGCCAAAGGAAAGACAAGCAGGAACTCTAAGAGGTTCTCCATCTGCACAACAGAAACTCTTCTTCAAATAATTTCTTATTACAAATATCATCAGGATGAAAGAAATTCTAGTTACTGTGGATGTACGTTTTGAAAAAGATTAAAAGTGCATACTGCATGCTACCTTCTGGTTAAATATAAATTTCATTACCTCTTCAAACAGATAGGTTGGAAAGGAATTAATTTTGCCTCATGTATTCTTCCTTAGCAGTTCCTCTTCTTCCCTTTACCCCCCTATCAATTCACAGTATAGATCTTGTCTTTCTCTTTGTTTAAAAACTCCCTAGGCTACACCAAACAGCAGCTGTTTTATTGGTGGCACTACACCAAATACAGGTTCTGCTTACTTGTGGTTATCACTTTGGATAGTCCTGGTCCTCTGGTATTGTTTTTCACTATATGAAGGGATACATTATACTGTTGCCCTGGTGCCAAACCTGGCTGCATATAAGATGTCTCTGGCCTTTTCAAGCTGCTGGTTATATCTCCATTATCATCCTTTTTCTGTAACACATGGAACAATCAGTTAGCATAAACATAAAAATCCAGGATCTGTCACTCATACAAGACACACTGCTTTCTTACCATATTACGGAAGACCAGCTCCCAGCCATCAAATGAAAAGTTCAGAGGATCCCATTCCACCTGGACGGACGTTTCTCTAACAGACTTGAATTTCAGACCTTCTGGAGCAGGCAGGTCTGTGACACAAAAAAAGGATTCTGTTACACGAGCAACAAGTTCCCATAAGTAGGACACCGGTGGGACATCTTTCCACCACTGTAAATATCTGCCATGTAGGAATCTGCATCTGAAATGTTTAAACCCTATTTACAGCCACTTATTCTGTCTTTGGAGAGACATTTCTCTGACCTGTTTTAGATGTCACACTAGAGTAAAACAAATTGTGCTCTAGAAATCTCTCTTTTTTTCCCCTCTTGAAAGAAGCTTAGTATGGACATTTGAGGTTAGGTGAGATGGATCCTGCCCAAGACTCTGGAAATGACCACAGTGGCAGAAGTCAAAGAGCATCTTCTGAATCGGGAATGTTTAGATATGACTGTGGTGTGCACAATACAAAAAGGAAGATGAACAAGTGAGCAAACAAGCAGATAGATAGTTAAGTTGTGGTAAAATATGCAGAAGATGCAAAGCAAATATAACATCCATTTTAGTCAAAACAGTTTGAATCCAAGTGATTTCATATTGCTCTTTTATATGGTGCCTCTTTTATATGGACCCCAGGATATTAATTAGGAGACACTGAAGAGAGCAGAATTGCTAGTAAACTGTACTTTTAACACAGTGACTGGCATTGGAAAAGAATAGAAAATGAAAGTGCAGAAAGCTGTCTTTGTCCAGAACAGAAGATGAATTCAAAATAGAAAATCGGAAAGAAATAATACCCCAAAAAAGGGACGCAAATAAATATGTATTACAGAACAGACAAAAGAACGAATACAGGGAATATTAAACTCACATGTTGCTACCCTGGCACTGACTGGAATACTCTTCTTGTTTTTAAGGATTGCAAAGACACGGATGAAGTATTCTACACCCGGTTCCAGTTCATGAATAGTGGCAGCTGTCTGGTTTCCTGGCACAGTGAACTGCATATCTAAGCCACCACTGCTGGTGGGGACATAGGTGATGAGGTACTCATTGACAGGATTCTCATGCTTCCATTCCAGATTTACAGTTTTATCTGTTACATCTGTCACAGTCAGCTCGGTTGGAGGAGACACTACAAAGGGGAAAATACAAAACAAACTTATAAGAAGTTTTCAAGGCTCAGAAAATAATGACTTCCCCAGTTTCACATTTTCCCAGGAGCAGTTTATAAGAATCATCTAACAAACAGGGAATGGGGAAGACAGGTCACACAAATTAGCTGCTTGAAGAAAGGAATGTTCAGCTGATGAAGACTACAGACATTTCCAAAAGTCATGAGCCAATTTCTACTCTCACACTTGCACACAACCTATGGGTGACTGTGTTTCAGCTCCTCCTCTCATGGCTACTGCACAAGATTGCTATAGCTGGGTCCCTAGGGATTCAGATGTTTAATTCAACTGCCAGCAACACATGATTTTGTAGCTGGAAGTCTTGAGGTTTGCACAGATTTTCCAAAGTATAATAAAACATAATTATTTTTGTAAATACTTTCAATAGATTACTCCACATCTGCATGTGCAAGAGCACAAAATATGGCTTAGGAGTCTTCCAGGAGGAAGAGATGAAAAATGGGAATTTCTTTTCAAGGGTTTTAATTGTCTTTTATAATGTTCCCAAGACCAAAGTACTCTTTGATTACTCTAAAAAGATCTTAGTTCCAAAATTTCTCCTCTGGGATCTACTAAAGCAAGCTACTTCGTTTATAGTGTAATTCCTGTCATTATCTAGCTGCCAAAATTTTCTATCCATTTCCATAAAGTCAATGGTACTGGGAAACAAAGCATGTGGCTTTATAGCTAAGTTTCCACTCCAGCTGATTCCATGATTTTACTCTAAGCTCTTGTCAGATCTAACACACACACACATATATAGATATAAAATCAAGTTTTACTTTAGTGAGAAAAGTCCATTTGGGCAATTGAGAGGTAGACAAGGACTTGTAATAATCCTGAAAGCTTGCACTGCAATATTTGCAACATCTGGCAATTCCATCATGACAGTTGTCTCATACAGATCACTCAGCTAGGACAACACTATTTTCTGTGTGCCTTGCCTCCACTCTCCGACTCCACCAGGGCTCCAACTCAGAGATCTACCCTCAAAGCAGTCGCTGAGCCCTTGGGGTCTGTCAGTGTATATTGTCAGTACTGAGTGTTTCATTTTCAGCTCCTACAATAGTGATGGCATTGTAAATGTAAACCCCTTTCTTATCCATCCAGCAGGAGACTGGGAACCAGAACCTGGCTGTAAGAAATGTTTGATACCCAGGCTCCTTATTCACTGACAGTCATTATCTACATTATCTCATTCCTGCAAAGCCTTATTCTTTAGTCAAAGTCTAGTCCATATTCTTTTGACTAATCCTGCTAGTAAGAATACTCTGGGTACATCTCCCTCTTATCCATAAGTATAACAGTTTCTTTCAGACACTTTTTTTTTTTTTTTTTTTTTTTTTTATGGTGACAAATCCCAGACAGTGTTAGCTACGGCTCCAGTGACACTGTGGTGGAAGCAAACCTGAAGGTAACAAATGGATTGCTCATCACCATTATCAGCCTGCTGGCTTGCTGACTACAAAAAGTCACCAGCAACCACTACACTATATAGCCCTAAAAAGTGAGGGAGACCAAGAGCTTGCTACTGGTGGTGTTACTTCTCTGATTCAGCTGTTTGGACTATGAAAAAGAAGAGCGGCAACAGGGCCTAGCTCTATGGAAAAGGTTCACAGAGCCTCCGAGGCTGCTGGATGGACACAGGGAAGTGGTTCAAAAGCGACATTGTGACATACCATCAGAGCAGTCATTTCCCATGTAACCATCATCACAGACACACCGTCCATCGATGCAGCGGCCCGCATTGTTGCAGTCGTTGGGGCAGGACCGTTCACGGCAGTCCTCCCCCGTGAAGCCCTCGTGGCACACGCAGCGCCCATCGATGCAGCGCCCACGCCGGTGACAGTCGTTGGGACAGGACAGCTCACCACAGTCCTCCCCCGTGAAGCCATTGTCACACTCGCAGCGCCCCTCCACACAGCGCCCACGATTGTGGCAGTCTTCAGGGCACCGCAGCTCCCCACAGTCCTCCCCTGTGTACCCCTCATCACACACACACTGCCCATTGACACAGAGTCCACGGTTGTGGCAATCGTTGGGGCACCGTAGCTTGCCACAGTCATCCCCGATGAATCCCTCGTGGCACACACACTGCCCATTGACACAGCGCCCGCGGTTGTTGCAGTCGCTGGGGCACCGCAGCTCCCCACAGTCCTCCCCGATGAACCCTTCGTGGCACACACACTGTCCATTGACACAGCGCCCGCGGTTGTGACAGTCGTTAGGGCACCGCAGCTCCCTGCAGTCCTCACCCAGGTACCCCTCGTGGCAGATGCAGCGCCCACCCACGCAGCGCCCACGGTTGTGGCAGTCGTTCGGGCACCTCTTCTCACTGCAGTCATCCCCCACGAAGCCCTCGTAGCAGACGCACAGCCCGTTCTCGCAGCGCCCGTTGCCATTGCAGTTGTTAGGGCAGGTCAGGTCCCCACAGTCCTCACCGGTGAAGCCCTCCTCGCAGAAGCAGGTTCCGTTGATGCAGCGCCCACGGTCGAAGCAGTCATTGGGGCAGATGAGCTCGCTGCAGTCCTCGCCGGTGTAGCCCTCGTCGCAGACGCACTCGTTGTCCACACAGCGCCCGCGGTTGTGGCAGTTGTTGGGGCAGAGAGGCTCACTGCAGTCGTTGCCAGTGAAGCCCTCGTGGCACACACACTGCCCGCTCACACACCTCCCGTGCACGCTGCACCCCTGGGAGCAGAGCTCTTCGCTGCAGTCTGGGCCTGTGTACCCCTCAAAGCACACGCAAACACCATCCATGCACTTGCCTTGGTCGTTACAGTCAGAGGGGCAGGTGGCCTGGCTGCAGTCTGTGCCAGCGAAGCCTTCGTCACAGATGCATTTGCCCTGGACGCAGAGGCCGCGGTTGAAGCACTTGTGTGGGCAGTCTGGTTCAGAGCAGTTGGGGCCTTTCCAGCCAGGCTCACAAACGCAGCCACAGATCTCGATGCTGTAGTTGCCATGTCCGCTGCAATAGGGTGTTGTGTCCAGGTGACCTGTACCAATGATCCAGAAACCCATTACTCCCCTTGGCTCTGGGATGCATGAGGCCACTGTGGCACACACAATCTAGAAGGGGGCTGCTTTTCCTAGCTTCTTACAGGAGAAAATTTCCAGAATCACCACAGTTTTTAAATGAGAATATGTCCTCCTTTCTCCAGTGAGATTTAGTTTACCAGCAACACTTTAATTCGCATTAATGCCAGGGAAAAGCCCCTGGCAGCTACTTGGGAAATGAGCATGCTGGATTCCTCTGCCCTTCTCAAAATCCCTCTTGCACTGACTGAGCAGCTTTCCTGACTGCTTCATTAGGGCATGCGCCATGAAGCATTATTCACCAGTTCACTCCAGAACACAAAAAGCCGGGCAGCATGCTGTACCATCAACTGCAAGACAGACTCTGTGCTCAGAGGGACAGATTACTACTGGGAAGACCTGTATTTTCTCTCTTGTATGAGCAATCTCTTACCTCAGTTTAAAAAGCAGCCAGAAGGATACATTTTTTCTCCCCTTCTCTAACTATTTGTGCTTGTCTATTGCCTTATGTCCTGCTGTATTTTTATTGGTCTCTATTAAAGAAAACTTGGAAAGGAAAATGGTTACTTTGGCAGCTCACTCAAGGGACAAAATGTGGAGCCAAGAGTTTGGACTGTGTGAGCTTTAATCTTAACTCCAGCACAGATTGTCACCCTGCCCAAGTGCTGTACACAGTCAATGCCACAGCTACAAAGTGGCCCAGGCAGGCTTCTGACCCACAGATTCTTAAAAGTGCAAAACTGTGAATGAACGTATCTTGCAAGCTGGCCAAATACATCCCCAGTTTTGATTATGTTTCAAATTTAACAGGTTGACTTTTGCTCATTCTTGAAACAGATTTGAATATCTACTCTAAACAAGATCTACAGCCAGCACAAGAATTTCCCCGGGAGCAGCTCCCCAGTCTGCCTTACCTTCTACTGCCTGGGAATTAGGACAGCATCCAGCCCCGTTGGCACACTGCTCCCGCAGGGAGGATACCAGCCCCTCCAGTTCCTCTAGTCTGCTCAGCAGATCCTTAATGTCTGGGGCAGCTGCACAGCCACAGGCCCGGCGGGGAATGTTAATACGGTGTGTGAAGACAATCTGGTTCTCCTCATTCACCGTATGCTCCTCGTAATTCTTGACGGGCTCAATTTCTGCCTTCAGGTCTGCATCACCACTTGCTGTATCCAGATCCACAGAGCAAAGGGAGCCAACAGGCAATTTGATGTTGTAGACATGGTTAAAAACCACAGGCTGATTATCCTCTGGCAAGGTCACATTCAGCCCACTCGCCCGCTTCTTCCGGATGATTCGCTTGATGAGTCCACCACTGACATGCTGGTACAGCAAAGCTAAGATTGCACAGGCCAAAACCTGGGTGGCGAGTCCCATTGCGGTGTTCAGTTCCTTTTCAAAGCTAATGGAGTCTTATGTATGTTTGGCCTCTGTAATCTGGAGCAGAAATTGGAGAGCCAGTTCAAACCGAGTTGGATATCCTTTCTTTTCCTGGCACACCTGTTTCCTAGAAGAAGAAGGATCTGTGTAAGTGATGAACCGCAGCTACACCACCCAACAAAAGGCCTGTGACACTGGATGCACGCTGGCACCCTTAGAGAACATGGCTGGGGTGCTACTCAATGTACGGGCTCACTTCACCCAAGCTGCTGAGCTCGCTCTTACATATAACAGTGCATGACCTTCTTTTCAGGACCTCAGTGTGCTTGTGAACAAAATGTCACAAGACATAAATCATGAAAGAAGCTACTATTATTTCCAATTTAAAACAAGTATCGTGGAGTATGGTAAGTTTAACTGCTTCAAGCAGAAGACCAGGGCAAGGAAGCCTGCTGAGTCTCATCTCAACTGAAAACACTACGTTCCAGACAGAGGTAGGTAAAATAAATATAAGTTCTGTTATGATTCATCTGTTAGAATTCTGTATTTCCTTCACCCATTAGTTCACTGCCTGAAGGCTACTGAAGGCTGGATCATGTAAGAAACTCGAAACATTGTCAAAAGGTGTATCAACACCACTAAGCTCATTGCAGCCCTTTTCCATATGCTTTAAATTACTCCAGTTGCTTGGGAATCTGAACTCCAGGACTTGAAGCCTAATAGTAAGTTTCATTATACCGATGATTTGTCTACAGCATGGAGATAACTGGAGGTGTCTGGAGAACACTGCAGATTGAAGGTTCTGGTGTCAGCACTTGTATCACAGCAAGCAGTATTTTAAGACAGAAGTAGTGAGACACAGCAGAAGCTGAGACTCCAACAAGGGAGACACACTGTAAGAAACAGCAACAGAAATACACGTGTGCGCACACACACACGAAAGGGAGAGGAAGAGAAGGAAAAGAAAATCTCTGATCATCTAAGTCCTTCAAGAAAGAGAAAGCTTTACATCAATACAGGTGTAAAGACATCATTTTAGCAGCCAATACACCTTTTCACCAGGCAACGTTTCCCACTGTGTGATTTTTCATCAGCTATAATTTGATAGCTTGCTTATGGTTACAAGCACCTGGATGGGCTGTTCTATCTCTTCCTGAAACTCATTCTTTTCTATTAGTTTCAATATTTCCTCTTCCTCCTCAGCCTGTACCTGCTCCTTTCAAATTATATGAGCCAGGGGAGCTGAAAGGCATCTATTGACTTCCACGCAGAATCAACCCTTCAGCATGTCGAGTAAGAATCAAAAGCAGCTAATGGACTGACTAAACAAGCACACCTAATAAATGTCATCTTAGCATTTGTTTTGCTTTCTGCTCCCAAAAAAGCCTGGTTAAATGGTTAGGTCAGTGACTGTGCTTCCACTAGTTGTAAACTAGTGAAATGCCAGTAATGGAGGAAACAGGAATTTATTCTCTAAACTCCACTCTTTTGGTGATAGTTCATTTGTCAGATGAGAGACTACCTTCTTCCACTCTTCTGCCTCCACCAAAGTCTAGAGATCATTTTTTCCCCCATGCTATCCCAGCTGCTTTTGTGAAAGAAGGACAATAATACATCAGACACTTTACTGAAGTTAATTTTTTTGTGGACAATGTTGAGCTTACAAAGAGGGAACTTCGTCCCTTCTTATTGGGGAATAAATCAGAAGTAAACAAGCAGCAGTGGAAGCTTTTTTCTTGTCATGGAAAAGCATTCAGCTTTAAGCCATTTCTAACACTTACCCCATTTATTGAAGTATGCCTGCAACCCCTCTCTGCACCAGAAGAGATCACAAGGTAGCTAATAAAGAATAACAGAGACAGACGTGGTCCAGGTCTCATTTGTGACTCAGGTCAATCACTAGATTTGGCTGCCAGTTCATGAAACATGTTCAGGACAGTATTTGAAGTGGGATTTTACTCTCAAGCACTCCCACTTGTGGTTTACAAATTGCTTTCCATGCGATGAGATTCCATGGGCTATACACTTTTTTCTCTGAAACAAGGTAATATAGTAAAATTGGTACCTAATCCTCAAGTAGTTATTTAAGGGACGGGCTTCTTGACAGATGTATCACCAATGGAAAATGGAACAAACTGGAGGAAGCTCTGCATCCAATTCTCACTGAATTTTAGTGAAAGATGAGCATCAATTTCCTTATGGCTTTTGTAAGTCCCAACCTACAAGAATGTGGGCCTTGCCCAAATCAGGAAAATTTATTGTGGTTTTTTGGCTGACTGATGTGAGTTTACTTATCATTTTATTACAGTATAAACTGTGATTTTTTTGCCTGGAAAATGAAAATCCTGCTTCTGACAAGAGCCACTGTCACCTTCATTATTGATGAAAGCCACATGAACACATTTACTTTTACTGGGTGTTCACTGCATTAGAGTCAGCCAAACCTCTCAGCCTGCAGATGATACTGGAAGACTTAATGTATCTTGGCTGACATTGTCTTCAACTTCATGAAGCAGCATTGTGGTGGTCTAGAAGCAGCATTCCCCAGTGTCTGATCTGTGACCTCTGTGTTTTGACACCTACTGTGATATCTGAGCTAACTGAGATCAGGTGTTTCGCATCTGATCTGTCAAGGACCCAGCATGATTAGCTAAGCTCAACTCCTAGATCTGAGATCTACAAAATGAGACACCTTCATACAAATATTTACAAATTAGCCATATTTTTGGCTGGAAGAACAAAGATTACATCCCTCACTCCAACTCCCATTCCTCAAACAACAGCTCAGACCACAATGGACCACCCAGGAGCAGTCCATTCCAGAGAGAAATGGAAGCCACAGCAACTGTCAGGCTCTGTTGTTCCTTCATTTTTCTTTATCTCCTTACCTTCAAAACAGTTCACATAGATTGTATTTTAAATCTTCCCCTTGGAGACATCCTCTCTATATTTCCTCTGCAGACATCAGCTGCTGGATTATTTACAGGCACTTAAAAATCTTGCTGCAATGGTTTGCAAAAGAAGATTACCCTTCTCATCATGAGTTTCACCTTGCTGTAATACGTATAAAAGAAGTCGGGTAATTTTTGTAGCATATCTCTCGGCTATGTTGAAAGGCTTTTATGACCAAGAATGTGTCCATTTCTTACAAGTGGTTTGTCTAATACAGAATATTACTCATCCTAATGAACTGTGCCCCCCATGTCCTCCTGTCATCCTGACGACAACACAACTGCTTCAAAACTCTTGGCAATAATTATGTGGTTGGTCTGCAAAATAATCTGCTTGTCTTGCAGAACAATAAAGTCTAGAGCTTGTGTTTTCCCAGCATGATCACTGGCACCTTCCCATAGCCATCACCCTCATTGGACAAGAGTTATCTTTTACTGCTCCCTTAGGCAGAACCACAATATAAACATTAACAAAAGGTGCTGTGGCCTCTCACACACGTCTTAAATTTCCTTGATCAGAATTTTGCAGTCCTGTCACTTAATGAGTTGCATACTGGCACCAGATAAAAAACAGAACCAAAACTGTATTTGCAGCCTGCTGTGCAATCTTCATTTTCAAGAACACTTAGGTAGCCCTACCCAGCTGAGTACAGCTTGTGCAGGTATAGGCTGAGTGATGAAACCTTGGATCACTAACACTGATGCACCAGCTATCATTGTAAGAGTACTTTTTTTTTTTTTTTTTCTTAAATTGATCAAAATCTTCTTTAGATCCCATAAACTTAGCAAGTGATGTATCTGAAATTACTGGTCTAGGTGCCCAGGATAGAGATGTCAGTCTCCCTCTGATAAATGTGCTGTCCGTATCAACATGACATGGGAAGAGGGTGTTTGGCAATGGCTCAGCCACCGTGGCAGTAGTGATGTTGAAAGTTTGCAATCTCTGCAAGGAGAGTTAGGTTCAAGCTCAAGTCAGAAGAGCATGAAGATAATACATATTTTTCATCCCAGCCACAGCCAAAACTTGCTGTCTCCTTTCTTGGCTGAATCAGAGCATGTTACTGTTACCTTTAGAGTTATTTTGGCATATTAAAAAGGAGAGAGACAACAAACTGAGAAGCTAATCATGGCATCTATGCAGTACCAGCTGATGGAGAAAGAGATTCAAGGAAAAAAAAATTCCTTGTCTTGTATAAACACTAACTTTAAAAGTTAGATGCTGTCCAAACAGAAAAAAAAGAGACCATTTCTAGAAAAAAACCCACTCCTTAAAAATCTGATCGTTAACCAGCAATATATGTGGTGGAAGTAAGTTGGACTGCCAGTAGCACAAAGGAAAGGAATAATTTTAATTTACACTGCAGCCCTTTCATCTGAGGCTCTGAAAGCACATCACAGTCTGGCTGCCAAAAGCTGAAAAAATGTTAGGGTTATTTTTTTGTTTGGACATTCCCCCCATTTCCTGCCCCCCTCCCGATATCAGAACTTTTTCAGGACATTTCAATATAATTATAAATTTGCTTCTTAATAGGAAATTTTCAATCAGTCTTGAAAAAACCCAGGAATCCTGTCTCCTGGGGAATAGGTAATGTATGAATATTTTCCTTCCCTAAAGACATATTTGCTGGAAACCAGCAGGTGTGAGAAACTAAATCAATGTTTGCATAGTTTAAAGTTTTAGTGTAGCACTCTAGTCTCTCTTGCAAATTCAGGAGTGGCAGAGTTGTGAGACGATTTGTGGGTATGTGGAGCAATAAAAATGCAAATGAGAAACCTGTGTGATTTTAATCAAAACAGATTGCAGCAATGAAGAAAGGGAGGTGTTAGAAAGTATCTCAGCTGTCCTTCTTAAAGGAGGCAGAAGGCTGATTAGATTTGCTCCTACAAGTCATGACTTGAAAATTAGACTTTAAAAAGGCAGGGGGAAAGAGAGAGAAAAAAAGGAAACAATTCCCTAAACAGATACTTCCAACATTACAGCAGGAGGGGATCAAATATTGTCAGCATATATTGGACTCAAGCACATCTTGTTAAAATCTGTATAAAAGCACTAATGGGCTGGATTCTGACAGAGAAGATTCAGTTGGAGAGGAGCCATAGCCCTCTACAGAAAATACAAAATGGTGCATTTCAAAGTTATTAATTGCTAAACCTAAAATAGTTTTCTGTGATGTGT